GACTGGAAAGAAGGACACCTCGTCAAGATTCCAAAGAAAGGAGATCTGAGCAAATGTGAAAACTACAGAGGCATAACACTACTGACAATACCAGGGAAAGTCTTCAACAGATTGTTGCTGAACCGGATGAAGGATGCAGTAGACGCCCAACTTCGAGATCAACAAGCTGGATTCCGTAAGGATCGGTCGTGCACAGACCAAATTGCAACACTACGGATCATCGTCGAACAATCAGTTGAGTGGAACTCATCACTATACATCAACTTCATTGATTATGAAAAGGCATTCGACAGTGTAGACAGGAGGACGTTATGGAAACTTCTTCGACACTACGGAATTCCTGAGAAGATTGTCAATATAATCCGGAACTCATACGATGGACTACAGTGCAAAGTAGTGCATGGAGGACAGCTGACAGATGCATTCCAAGTAAGGACCGGAGTCAGACAAGGCTGTTTACTCTCTCCCTTCCTTTTTTTCCTGGTGGTCGACTGGATTATGAAGACCTCAACATCTGAAGGAAACCACGGAATACAATAGACAGCTCAGAATCAATTAGACGATTTGGACTTCGCAGATGACCTAGCCCTCCTATCACGTACACACGAACAGATGCAGATGAAGACAGCCAGTGTAGCAGCAGTCTCTGCATCAGTAGGCCTCAGCATACACAAAGGGAAAACTAAGGTCCTCAAATTCAAAGCGGAGAACAGCAATCCAATCACTCTTGATGGCAAAACTCTGGAAGATGTAGAATCCTTCACATATCTGGGAAGCATCATCGATGAACAAGGAGGTTCAGATGCAGACGTAAAGGCGAGAATTGGCAAAGCAAGGACAGCATTACTACAATTGAAGAACATATGGAACTCAAAACAACTTTCAACCAATATCAAAGTGAGAATCTTCAATACGAACGTCAAGGCAGTTCTACTGTATGGAGCTGAAACTTGGAGAACTACAACAACCACAATCAAGAAAGTACAAGTATTTATAAATAGCTGTCTTCGCAAGATACTCAACATCCATTGGCCGGATACGATCAGCAACAGCCTTCTGTGGGAGAGAACAAACCAACTTCCAGCTGAAGAAGAAATTAGGAAAAGACGATGGAAATGGATAGGACATACATTACGCAAATCGTCAAACTGCATCACGAGACAAGCCCTAACTTGAAGTCCTGAAGGAAGGAGGAAAAGAGGAGGGCCAAAGAACACATGAAGTCGGGAAATAGAAGCAGATATGGAAAGGATGAATAGGAATTGGAAGGAGCTGGAAAGGATTGGCCAGGACAGGGTTGGATGGCGAATGCTGCTGAGCGGCCTATGTTCGTTCACGAGGAGTAACAGGCGCAAGTAAGTAAGTAATCGTCCAGCTGAGTCCAGAACACCAATAATAGCTTCCGCTATGCGAATTGTTTAATTTGGATGTACTTAGTTTACATACCAGCCAAACTAAGAAATAACATTTATACAATTTCAGTCCCAAACGTGGCTGTGAACGTGGGAGACAGTAATTAATTAACTGAGTATAATTTAGGAACAGTTAAGTCGTATAATGATAAATTATGGGTCAAAATAAAGCTTATAGCAAGAGAAATATAGATGTACATAATCTAGTCTCTGAACAGTTATACAATAGGAATATTTGTATACATATAGTATTAGTCCATTATTAGATCTCAGAGGTTACCCGTAATTTAATCTTCACTAGGGTATAACACATCCCCTTTTTGAAGTACCAGAGATAATAACGATCCCTGGGATTTATTTCTATTCGATTAGAATTACGTCTGATGCGCTGCAATCGCCTTGGGAGAGTTGTATACGTTTTCTTGTCCGGGTCATTTTTAATTTCACTATCTGATTCAAGTACTATGTTTAGTGGTATATCCTGATTTATATCACTTCCTGTGTCACACTCTTGTCTGGTTGGTTGTATCTGGTTTGCATGTCGAACAAATGTCTCTTGCCCAACTTTTACTTCATAGATAATTTTCCCTTACTTTCGGATTATGATGCCAAAACCCCAGGAATTGTTGATCTATTTTCATATCGAAATTCTCATCGAGGTCTTAAATCAGGTAATTCGGTAGCAGCATTTTTCACGTTATCTTACAATTAATGCTCGTGTAATGTAAATTAGCACCCCGTGGTACAACTCTTTATTCCCGTGATCAGTATAAGTACTATAGACTTCTTGAAAACACTTGTCAAACGTTGAAACCTTAATGTTTAAGTTGAAATTGTCCTGTTGAATACTTGCCTTCTGGATTTCGATCTCAACAAATACAGAAATGCTGTTCTCAACTTCATAATATTTCGGGTGCCTAGATGTGATAAATAATGGGGATGATTGTGCCAGCAAAGATGGTATAATGTCAGTTGGTCCTCTTTTATTTGATCATATATATTAATCGTTGGATTCTTGTTATGAACATTTTGTTAAGTGCATAACAAATCGAATGATGATATTGTTCTATTTACCGTTCGTTGACCGTTGTTTCTATTTCCTGTATTTTAGGCCTGTGAAATAAAAATGTTGATTTGGGTTCCCGGGAGACTGGATAGACATAACGTTTCTAAACCTCATTATTTTCGTTCAAATACAACAAATAAATGGAATGAGATTATATGGCAAATATAAATGTTACGAATTCGGGCCAAAATACACCATATCACCTGAACGGGGTTTATAATTAACGATGAACATAATAAGAACTTATTTTTGTTGTTTTCTACTGCTGCGTGAGTTACCGTTTGTTGGTACATATGATGGGCTGAGTTGTCGGATAAGGTTCCAAGAGTTCTAGCATCGTAGTACTTGGTAATGCTGTTAGTGCTATTCTAAAACTTTAGATTTGTTCCCGATGAAAAAACAAAAATCTGGTTGATATGTAGATCAGTTAGAGGTTGTTATACGGCGATACAGTAAGGTAGAAGGTGACAGTAGCAATTAAATACTATAATGTAACTGCACTTCTTAACTCATTCGGCCTCAGAATTGACAAGTATGGTTTCGAGTTTCCATGCCTTTAAATGGTGAGGCAAAAATCGATGTAGTGCCTTCAGAAATCGAAAGAAGAATCACCAAAGAAGCATTTTATGGACTGGTTACCCACTCAAAACCTTAAATGTTAGTGTAAACATTACACATATTTCAAATGTGTTGATTTGACAATGGCTAGTTGATTGCCCGTCATGTACGTACACTTTCAACAAATATGGTTTCTCAGTAATCTCGTTTGTAAAATGTTAACATTTTCGAGTCCGAATTACATTCTTGGGGGGTCATAGAAACCGAAAAATGTGATGGAGACCGGCTTTTCATATACTGTGATACCACGGGAATTTTGTTATATGTATCTACTAAGTCGAATTCAGAAAAAACTCACTTACTATTTATTGTCAGACAAAGTCTATTAAAAATCAGGCGTGTTTGGAATCAGATAATGGTCGCGTAACCTTACATTATTCAAGACATGATTGCTACCAAATGGAAGCACATTGTGGTTTTCGTAGTTGGTGGGATTTAGAAGCCATTTTCATCAGTCTTCAAAATAGCGAGCTTTTTTTGGCTGCATATGCTCGATTCTCACTTTCCGATAACGGTCTATTGTGGTGAAAATTATCGTGGTTTAGCTTAGATAAGTTGATTAATAACTGCTATATTAGATAAATTTTCAGCTCGATAATTCATCACCAATATGTTGACATGATGAGATGGATTGGTTTTTCCATAAATGTTCACCATAAAAGTCACAGGTTGTCATGATGGTGTTAATAGCTGTCAGATTTACTGCTTGTATCGCTTTGTTTATATATTAGTCGTTGAAAATGAATGGCATGGAGCATTTCGGCTGATAATGGTAACGTGCACCAGCAGTTACTTTTGGGCGGTTGAAGTTTGTAGAGGTTCTCTGTTGAACTCATTTTTTGTCGAGTTACTTAATGATGTTTTCACTGTAGAGCCAGTGAAATGTCAGTGGTGGAGTCACTGGTTGTCGATACAGTTCGCCGATCTTCGTTAAGTTCAAGGAAGACCAACACGCATCAACTAATCGTACGCCATAGACTGGCTTATGTGGTTGTGGTCGCAATCTCTTCCTTGTACCTAATTTACCAATATATTTCTGTAATGACGTCCCTTGTGCTATAAGTTTTTCACTGCGTTCACAGTACCATGATACAAATAAAAGTTAATCCACAAAGGTGCTGACCGTGAGGTGTGACTTCGAAGTTAGCTAACCAATCACACCATCCGCGTCTAACTCGAGTAGGCCCCTACTCATTTTACGTTAGTGATCTACATCTCCATTATCTTTCATATTAAGGCGATAACTCTCAACATGAGCATGTGAGTAAAAAAGAAGTAATGTGTTCTATACCAGTCAATCAGTGCTTCTCGATATAACCACATTTTCCAGGATAATTGTGTATCTCAACCTCTTCACCGCAGAAGTACATGGGGACTAGTGCAACGCAGTTCAACATACCGAACAAAATATCACTCTAGAAACTTCGAGGTTTTTCACCAAGATACATGATTACTTTTTTCAAAATGAAAGTCCAGAATCTACAAAACCCATTACTTGACCGAATGACCACTACAGATTTTGATACCTCCTTTAAAGACAGGTCTGAGAACCATATTGGAATCGTATGTACTGAACAAGTTTTTCCATTCGACTTTGGTTTTATTAATGAAAAACCTGCGATTTCTTCATTCGTTTTCAATGAATATGAAAAAAGGCAATTCTATTTAATACCAAGGACCATCTTTTATATCTCAGAAATGCATTAACGAATAAGTAGTTATCTATTCTGCTCAGCAATGTTTAAAGTTCGAACCGACCTTTTGTATGCGAAGTTTTATTCACGTAATTCTAATGTGACACTGCATTTTAATGCTGTATAACCACTTTTATAAGCAAACTGATGAGAATGACTAGGCTAGATAAATAATGTTTCTCTATTGTTTATTGAAAGTCTCTGGCCTTTAAAAATAAGCGGACGAAGCGCGCTTTACGTCTTTACTCTTGTAGGTAGCTATTCGGGTCAATTGTACGTTATATAGTTGTTTTTGGCTTTGTCATATTGTGTATTGTTGTATCAGTTATTCATATCCAACACAAATTTGGTTATCAATGGACTTCCTGACCAAAAATGTTTCATATGAGGGTTGCTTAAAAAACCCTACAGCTATTGTAATTACAATAGCTGTATGGATTTAAATTTTTCATCACTTTAACGACCGAAGAATATCTTAAGTGATATGTCTTACAAATTTCGATTCAGTTGTAAGGTGACAGGGACTGTTCACACCATCCGACCTATTTTGTTTGAACCAGTGATCACATCCCTGTCGTATATATTAGAACAGTTGACCGGCTGATAATAGGTAAAGATATTGATCTAGTGGCTTGTCTTCTAAAAATGGAAATCACATCTGGTTTAGTCTAACTAGAAGGCCTCTTCTTAATAGTCAGGTAGCCATTACACATCTAACCATACCCAGATGGCATGCCGTGCCTAGTACATGCAGTCGTTGTGCGTTACTGTTTCCACTCATTAGTGGATGCTACTATGCCTTTAACAACCACAGCCTCAGCGTATTTCTTCATCAGCATAGCTTTCTGAAATTATAAAGATTTAAGTGCAAACCGTGTCCACAAATCGTGAAGTATTTACCGCCCGGTATTTCCGTTCGTACTGATTTACAACTTCATCAGTTGTTTTTGACAACCCTACGTTAAATGACGTGTTCTGCTTCCAATAAAATAGCATTCTGACTGATTTACCCAGTAACCAATGGAGGTCCTTTTGTTATGCTTCTATGTGTTTTAATCACTTGTTAATACACATGCGAAAATCGATGCATTTAAGGATGTTTCTAGTGTCTAAGATATTTGAAAGTAAGGAGTTTTTCATATTGGCCACAAGCGAACTTTATTCATGTTTCTGACGTTAAGATTCGAAATTTGTTATGATGTCGCAATTGGGTATGGTATTCTCGTTACTTGGACAATCAATTTAAACATTTCGATTATGTGGCAGCAGTTCCTTCTTAATAATCAGTTACTATAGCTGGTTCATTTCTGGATTATGTAGTTTTTTTATACCCAACTTCTGTTTTATTTCGCTTGATTTAACATGGGCTGCAGATGATTTTTGCTTGTGTTGTGTTCATTTTATATTAGCCCCGACTATCTTATATGCTGCATTGGGTTGGGTATCTTATTCTTTTTCAAAGTACGTGATTGTCATCATACTTCCGGTTTACTTCATACCTAGCTTTAACCATTAATGCTCAAAATCATCAAATAAAACTTCCACCAACCGTTTGCTGAAAGATATTATATGAAGACCAAGTGCTAAGAAAAATATTTTTGTAAATGTTTTTTGTCACTCGTATGAATGAAAGTTATGAAAAAAATTAATTCATCAATACTTGGTGTAGAACACTCACATTCTCTTACAAGACTTGCTAAACTGAATGAATTAAAAAAAATTTTCAATACATTCCGTGGTCAGATATCATAATGCCTCTAACTAGTTTCTGTCGATTTATTGTTTTTTTATTCCAACACATATTGGTATACGGAGGCACCAAATACATATGCTCCACACAGATCTCATTTGGTATGTGTGAGGACTGTGATACTGCCCGGGTGCCCAAACCGTAGCAGGTGACCTTCTTAGGGGGCCACACCCGGAGCCTTCGACCTGAAGGTCTGATCCACAGGGCAGTGGAGCATCGTAAGGAGATGCAGTCCCATGGTAGCCGATGACAGACAATTGGTTCATATGCCATTTTTTCCCTCAGGATACTGGAGCCCATGTGCACCATTGGTTTGGAAGGAGAGTTTCCCAACTCCCCTAGATGGACTCCATGTCAACAAACCCGGTTAAAGCGCTGGACATTCGCTTTTAGTCCTCTAAATTTCGTAAACAACACCCCTGCCACGAGAAAATGCAGTGAGTAGGACTTCCTTGGCAGGGGCTCTATACGCGTGACCATGAGAGAACATTTCGAGAGGGAGAGCGGACTCTCCCCACTCTCGGCCGCACCAGGGCATTTTCATTGGAATTGTGTTTAAATCTTTTTCTAGGAGTGATTTTTACCGTTTTCTGTTGCTCATAAGATAAACACCGGATCCAAAGATTTATTGTGCTGTATTTACGTACATTTCTATCATTTTATCTACATCTTACATGTTAAGACTAGTCTTATTGTACAGTTCATTTTCTGTATTATGTTATGAGGGATATAATCACATCAGTTCTCAGTAAACTCATACGCACCTGTTAGCTCAAATGGCGTGTTGGTTGCTCCAAAACCATAAACAGGTGTCATTTAAAAGAAACCATGTATTTGTATTCAGTGTGTAAATATAGCTCATTAGTTTAATTTGAGATACTGAATTTCACTTCTCTGCGCTTAGTTAGATTACCACTATCGTTTTTCATGATTTCGTAGATGAATTTATGTGACCACTCCTGTAAATGGTTTCCACTGTCATACATTTTTGTAAACATAAAGGTATCTGAGTGATACACAATTTTAACGCAGCTTCAAGTTCATAAGATCACAACAACAATTATTTTCCGTTTTTCGGAATACTTTTAAAGTGTTGGGGAACTTCAGAAGTGCCAAATATCATTTATATCCTATAAGTCTTTTGTAGTGCTATATCTTTTGGGTATTCATTGTTCAGTTATCTATAATTTATCTCAATGGCCCTTTATTGTGTAAGGACATTTTTTTGAAATGCAGTGTTTCTAACGGCTCGTGATTGATTTTTGTTCCAGCTCACACTCATTCCCTTCCTTTTTGGTATGAGTTATTCTATGGAACCGCCAGCAATGAGCACTTTTTTATCAGACAACGAAACAGTTGGAGAATCCACTAACCTTTTGCATCTCGAAGGTCATAGTTGGAGCCAGCTGCAAGATGGGACTATTGAGATAACTGACCGATTGCCTAAGAAAGAATACTACATGAGTCTTCGGAGGTTCAACAGCACTGGTCCTAATTCTGGAACTGCACACAGGTTGGGAAGTATTTCCAGTGGTTCAGCTGCTGGATTAGCCAATGGATCATCTGGTTTACTAGGTGGTAACTCACCCTCACCGCGCCCATGTGGTAGTACTCTACGTGGATCATCACACCCATCGGTTGTTGATTTTAAACCTTCTGGTAAAATAGTAGATTGTACGGTTGTAATGCTGGATGGCACAACAAGAGAGTTTCGTTTAGATGTAAGTTGCAGTTAATATAGTTTATTTATACTTTTTTCTTTTATCAAATTAATACTTGTACTGAGCTATTGCTTCTACGGACTACTGTTCCCATTTCAAACTGTCATTAAGAATGTCCTATGTGCCTTTTAACTGTTTGTCTAAATTGATGTTGTGTTGATAGTTTTAAGAATAATCAACTTAAGGTTTCCATACTGAGATGTAGCGCATGTTATATTCTTGTGTACTGTCAATTTCGAAATTTTATGATATTCTTACTAGTTTTCCTCAAATATATCAGATATCAAGTTTGAAAGCTAGAGGTGTTTTATATTATTGATATTTTTATACTGTTAAAGATCCCCACTTTAGGTCACCAAAGAATACATATAAACGTAGTGGTGATTGTGAAGAGGGAGGGGTCATAGAGCCCATAAATAAATAAACGAGAATAGTATTTAAATACAGACGCGGTTCAGTTAGAAATATAGCCAAGGAGAATGTCATACGTCTAAGGTAGTGCAACTTAATGAAGAAAGTGATAGGAAACTATGGCAAGAGTGCCACTGGATTTTTTCCAAAGTTTGTCTGGTAGCGTTTCAAGACAAAGTTGCATGGTATTTAGGACTCCAAGCTAGAAGGCATAATGAACCGGCCGATCCTACACAGTTATTTTTCATATCACTACCCCATATCATAAACTGACCACCTCTTCTTACATACAATCCTAGCGTTTTAAAATAATGTACAGGGTGAAGCTGCTGCGGAAACCTTTGTAAAATATGTACAAACCACCGAACATGACACCAAATTGAATAATTGACATTATGCTTGAACATACTACTGTATCTCAGAATTGCTAACATAGTATTCTCATCAGATTTGAGCAACCTTTCGGAAGCAACGATTAAATTCACAGTGACAATTGTTCTTCACGCACAGATTTAATTAAAACGTTCCCCACAACGCGATACCTGACAATCTGACTAGGTCTATTTAACATTCTGTATAAGTAAATTTGTCCTGTGGGAGAGTAACTATGAATAGCTGATGGTTAATAGTATTTCAGTCAGTAATATGTAATATTCCTGGTTCTACGTTGCATATAACTGACTGATTATACACTGAAGTCATGAAAGATGATGAGCGAATAAAAATGAAGCTGTAAATACTATGAGTTTTTTTATTTTTCGGCTAAAGTCGTCGTTACATGTTTGTTTCCAACAAACAAAAACGTATTCGTATTGCCCATCAAAAAACATAAATCTTCGTGACTAACATCACACATATAGAACGGTTTAGTTTCTACACATTGTTAAAATGTTTTTCAAAAAGATTCAGAATAATCTTTTCTTTTTACGAATAATTTTCAACAAAACCTTTCCGAATTTTAAATGATTGTGTCTGTTAAACCCTAAAATTAAACTGCTCCCGTTTCCCTAATCTTACGACACCACTTAAAGTATTGAAATAATTATCTCGAAAAACAAATTACTAATTTGCATCATATTTTGCTTTTGATGTAACTACGCGGATGTTTTATGTTGTAGTAGTTCTCATTTAGCCAGAAGGTACTTTGTGTACTAGGGGACCATACGGTGTATCGTGAATAAGGAGAGCTGGAAAAGAGGAAGTGGTCTAACGATCCAGTAAGCACACAGAATACACCTACATTTTATTAAGGAAAGCAATAGACAATTATCTTCAATAACACAAGCCTCGGATTAGGATAATCTTGGGATCAAAATTACAAGCAAATAGTTTAGCCTGTTATAGTGTGAATAAACTAATGTTCGTTTAGTTTTCATGCCTTAGCTCAATAAATGATAACAAATCTACATCTTTAAACATATAACAGGCCATAACATTAAAGTGAATTAAGCCTATACAATTTCCATATATTCTTTGAAAATCGTAAAATACATTAATAAAGCATAACTTATTAAAATTGTGGACTAGTTATTCATAACTTAAAATACTTGTTTTTTATAGTTAAGGTGAATAATATATATAAGTATGTATATATGAATAACTGTACATTAACTAAATTCGAGTTCAATATCCATCTTCCTGAAATACTCGTCAACATTTTTCTGGTTTTAGAAAGCTGCCTATGGACAACAATTATTCGATGCTGTTTGTACACATCTTGGTTTATTAGAGGTTGAATTCTTTGGCATCACATATTACGATTCAACTAATAATTGGGTGAGTGTTTTTATAAATATTCATCTAGTTGTTCTACTTACTGTTGCGTCAAAATCTTTAAGTTACTAATGTTCGACATTGTAGAAGTGATTCTCAGTGGTTTTAATCATCTAATTCACATTCAGTTATTCACAGGTTTTAATTTCCCTTCACCATGTTAGGTCTGACCATTTGGGTGGTATGGTAATGAGCTTGTTTCATAAACTTGTTCGCAAATAATGTATTTGATTGTCAAAATGCTTTTTTGATACCATAAAACCGAAATTACATCTTGACAAAAAACATGTATAGGTTGGCCTGTCAGTTCCTTAAGTTCTTTGATCAAGCTCCAGTGCTCATGAAGTCATCACAGTTATTTAGCTTTATTTTCCTAAAATTTTGGATTACCTACACATCCAACCAATCTCCTGTATACCATAAATCTCCTTCCCTTGCTTCTAAAATTTTGTTTTATTCTTTTTATCATCATGTTTTCACTAACCTCATCCTTCTCCTTTGCAACCAATGCTATTGATTTAAACTTATAGAATGACATCTCTATTCTCATGAAACTGGTCTCCAAACTAAATGTTGAAGATTTCAGTCTCTTATCTCCTGCGTAAAATCAGTGTCTGTTTTAGGAAGATTTATTAAGGAAATACATCAATTAATCGAACGCTCATTGCTAGACAAAATGCCATGGGGAACCCATCTACATTAGACATATCATGTAACATTTGTCATGACCATCCGCTTGACCTATTTTTACTTGTACTTGTCACGTTATTGCTGTCAGACTTAACGTTTTACTACTCCTGTAACCTTATCATCGACTTTGATTTTGGGAACATAACAGATCTGTTTAGGGAGACCGTTAAAAAGTGCATTCTAAAGTAGTTCCATGATAACACGTCATTATTTATTTATTTTACTGCGAAGTGTTATTTAAAAACTAGTGATAGAACTACGCCAATCCCTAATTTACAATCCAAGATGAAGTTTTTGAAAACACTTAACAGTTTATGCAACTTAATTCATCATTTCTGATTTGACTTGTTGACTGGAAGGTTAGAGTACACTAACCACTCCAAAGATTATTTGCAATTATCATAAGTATGAGGGAGATAGAAAAAAATGTCAAGTAATCATACTACGTTCTCCTGTCTTCGAACTAGAAACAATATTTTAGCATAATTCAAAATCACTCTTATTCAGCAGTTAAACAGCACATTTGTATGAACTGAGTGAACAAAAAACCCAACAGATTTAGTCGTCTTATAAATTCTATGCGTACATACACAGTAGTTATATGATCACTTATTTTAAAATCATATACCTGAAGACTTTTGGTGTGTGAAAAAAGGTAAAATTGAGATGCAATAAATTGCAAAAACTTTTATGCCCTGTGTGTATTTTGTATTTGAGTTGATTATGTTTGTTGAGTGCATCATCTTGTCATTAATTAAACTACAAGGTGAATTGAGAATAAGAACACGTTTTTACATGGTGAACAGTTTACCAATATATATGGTTAATAAAATCGTTTGCAAAAAGCAGTTGCTTGATTTTCTACAATATAATTTTAAAATGCAGTGCGTATATGCCAGGTTCTGAGAGCAAAATACTAATTAACACTTCAAATATAACTTCCCAACACACCTCCATTGGATGATGTTAACCCGCGTAGAACTCATCCAAATAAATAATTCTTTCATTAAAGGGATAGATAGTCAATCAATCAAGCCTTATCACTGTAGAAACTTTCACGAGTAATATTGGATAAAGCGATCCAAGTTCCCCCTTTCAACACACGATTAAAAAAGGGGGAATAGTAGTAATTAGAATGAAAATTTGTACGTGTAGTATAACAGCTCAAGAAATTATTGACGTGAATTTGAACAATGAAGTATTGGAAATTGACATCTAACCTTAAATTTACAAAGAAGTAATCAAGTGAATCCCAGCTTGCTGAGTGTCACGCAGTTCAGTCCTACGTCGTTATATTACCCAAAAGTCACCTAGACAAACCGTTTTGTGTCTAAATTAGATAGAACATAAAGGAAAGCCTTTCTCCGAAGTAGATCTATCAGTCGACACCAGAAAATGCTCTTTGGTCATTAGCTTAAAAAAACCATTTAAGTTTTTCTTAAAACAAGTGAATTTATTTAACACGAAAAACTGATTCCCTGTAGGTGCTTATGATAGGTTATCAAATGTATAGGTAGTAATTTATAACATGAAACTTAGGTATATTATAGGGTATTTTTATTCGACATGAGATGATATCGCGATCAGATCGATTTCGTTGAAATCACGAGGCGATCTAAGTTACACAATCATTGAAAACCTGAAATAACTTGATGACCGTTTTTAATTTAGAGCTCTGTTTAACAATCAACCTTGTGCATGATGGGTGCAACCATTTACGAACCTTCGTTTTTTTAACCATTGCCTAATTAGCTCCTATCTTTTCACGACTATCATCTTATCATTTCTATTCTCTTATTTTTTTATTGTGATTATCTAGTTCTGGCTCCAAACTGATCAGAAAATTGCAAAACAAATCGGTAGTAAGTTACCATACATTTTGTCAATATTACCGTCATCTTTTGAAGAGGTTCTGTGGGGATTACTTTTCGTTACCAATTGGTGTCAGTTAAGTGTACTATAGTGGGGTCGTTATCACACTGCTAACGTGTCTCATATCTGGGCGAAACATGTCCGACGGTATTTAATTTCTTTTACTTGACAGATAATTCCCATTTAAACATCAAAATTAAAACACGAATTTCAGCGAAGGAATCTCTTTTCAACGAATTTATTATCAAGCTGTACAATCGTATATATATGAAAATTTTGTTTTTGTAAAAGTACTAATTCCGTGAGGAAATGTGAACACAGTTAACATAAAGGTTATAATACTAGATTACGTAATATGAATAATAACAATAACAATAAATTTAGTGATTATAATAAGATGATTAAAATGATTAAAATGTTTTTGATATAATAATTAAAGGTCAAAATTTTCATATTCGTGTTTTAATTTCTTTTACTGTTGCCTCAAGTGTTGTCAGTTTGATGTCGAAAAGTTATCTACAAAAAATATATGAATAATTCATCATAAACAACTCATCTCATTAGTTCCCTTCTACAACTAAACATATCTGAAATGGTTGTATTTTAAACTTTGTTTATTCATTCGTGTAGGTTACCACCATTCTATTTTCCTGACATATCAATGGAGCATATACACTACTGTCTCTATACTGGAGTAGTATTCAAAAAATAATTTTATTTTCATATTCTGTTGTCCCATGTTAAGCAATTTTAATTAGTTGACAGAAATCTATGAACCTGTTTCATACTAGTCGCCACTTACTATTAGCAAGGCGCACATATAATCTTGAGGGTAATGATAATCGTGCTGTTTGAATATTTGTTTCAGTCTGAGACATTACCACTGAGCTATCTGGTCACGACTGATCTTCTGTAGGACTGAAATATGTTTATAGTTGATTAATCACCGAGTAGTGACCAACGTCATATATGTCAAGTTCTTAGTTCTAATCAGATTTTATCGCTCAAGTTGAAATGTGGTCACTAGTCATAAATAACTCTACATCACGTGCGCTGTGTTCATGTGTAAGGTGGTTGGAGACAGTCGCCAGGAGATTCTGGACTTAGGCTTCGTGTCATTTGGGACTTATCATCAAGATATACCTGTAATCCTGGAAGAACTGGTGCTCCGTGGCGGATTCGATCATATGTCTCCAAGCTTCATGGACAGAGACTTTACCACTGATCTCTTCGGGTCTCAACTTATCTCTTAAAGAACGGAGATTTTTTCGCAATATTGTATACATGCTCTTAGACAATGCCGGTAATATAAAAATTCTCCTCATAGAATAAAGTGCAGAACTATTTTCTTAATCCAATTTCACAGTTGAATGAAGCACAAAGTCTTTAGGAATAGTGGTTATTATTTTTCGCTAATAATTTATGTACTAACTGGTTGAAAGAAACTGTGTGATTTAATAAATGATAATAACCGAATTGTCTGATATATTATTTGGTTTTTCTTGGCTGGCAAACAGATAATATCTAGTGAACATAAATCTGTAGATAAAGAAAATGATCATGGTGTTGTTGGTTAATGTTGTTATTACCACCGACCGCAGATCTTCTTATTGTTCAATAAGCTCTCAATCGCTTCCAGTGTTGATAATAAAAAAACCGATGTTATAAAAGAGATGATAAAGTATTAAAATAATTAGGAAAATATCGTATAGTTAATTGCTAGAACATATGCCTTGAACTATTTCACCTGTAAAGTAAACGTGTCTAATAACGAATATATAGCTCTAAAACAATTGTTTCCTTCGATAAATCAACACCATGTGAATTGTCAGTTATCCTATTAATAATAATATTATTATTGTTACTATTATTATCAATTACTTTACTGCCCAACATAAAATAATGTTAGTTTTATTAGTTAAATAATATTTGTTAAATAATTATTTGTCGCGATTGGTTTTCTAAACTGTTGGCTTTGATAACCATAGACTAGGGTATATTCTACTCTGTTTGTCCCACCGATCCACACTAATCAAATAGGAGGAAGGTTTCAAGAGTTTCATCATTTTAAACTCATTCAATTTTTGTTATAACTTGGTCCTAATGATTTTATAAGATTTCTAGTGAGATATTAGTTAAAACCACCCACAATGGCTGGAATCATTGTTTTTCATTGTCGTCTTTTACATTATAAATACTTTATTAGTCCCTCTTCTGTTGATCCTCTAGTAGTGACTTGCACCGATAAACATAAAATTATTTGTGTTGTTCTGATATATTTAAATTTCTATATAAATGAATTATTGTCAATTGGCTTAGATTACATTATCATAATTCTGTCATTATATAGAAAATGAATGGCAGTTTGAATTTCAAGTTAAATTCTATCCATGTGATATCGACTCAATCAAAGAAGATATAACACGTTACTATCTTTGTCTACAAGTACGGCAGGATATAGTTAGTGGACAGTAAGTAAAGTGATAATGTGTTTATTCGTTTGGTTATTATTATTATATGCGAATATTGTAGCTGGCACAGCTATGAATATCTAAGCTAATAGGGTATGGCGACTTGAACCGATGTACATATGTGCCAGTTCCCACATTGTGAATGACGGATTTAATCAATTTTCAATTATTGCATTTAACTGGATTAATCTTTTCCCGTTTTTGATTCACATTTTCTCACAAATAATAATTAAATATTCCTCAAGAAATACGTGTTCAGTCATAAAATTAAAGATGCAAACTCATGTCTCTATTTAAATTTTTAGAATTGTAAATATTGTAGGTCTTTTCCTTAATTTCAAAATACCTTAAATGAAGTTGTTACTGAAGTGTATAACTATTTATAAATCACTTTCTTTTGGCAGGAAATAGCTTGGTTTAAAGTATGTTCCATGCGGGATTATGTTGGAGCACGCTGTTTAACCTATTCTTAACCAATCAGCACCAGCGATTAATTGAAGATTCTAGAATCTTCTCGTGTAAATTTATAAATGTACCAACGTTTTTCCTATTGCGCTTCAGTCCCATTCAACTTGTATAACCTGGGATATAATTAATTACCCTTTCAAACCATGTACTGATTTTGGGTACTTATTTAGTAAAGTATCTAAAAAATACTAAGCAATCAGGGTTGCTGGGTTGGATAATAAAAGATCTAACTCTCTCATTAGTCAATATTCGCTACATTTGTTATGTGGTTGATTATGTTATAGAGAAATGTGAGGTCCTAGCGTTAGCGTTATGGCTTATTGATATCTATAAGCGGATTTTGGCATATTCACTTTTCACTTGGATCTTGAGTTTTAAAATTATTGACCCATAATGCTTTGATTGGTTTACATTTTCGTATAAATATTCATGTATATTGGAGTAAAGCCCGATAACGATCTAATTGAAAACAATTGTTCGCTTATATATGTTGTTCTAGTTTTAAAATTATCGTACTTTTTTTTCTGCGGATTTTTTGTTTGTCGAGCTGAATTATCTATGCCTAGTCTGTCTAACTTCCACTAATATCGTTATTACTTCTAATACAACGGTATATGTCTTGATATTTCCATCTTGTTGTTCTGATATGTGTCAACTTAAATTAATATACATTTGTTCAAGTCTATAAATGACTTATGAACTGACTGACCATTTTCGTCTACTATGCAGTATGAATGAGAGTTATAAGTTCTTTTCAAAGGAAAATTTCGAACAGTTTGCACGACTCGACTCCACTCTGTTTAATGAAGTTCGAACCAAGTTTGACTAAATTAGCGAATGTTCAAGTAAGTTGCTCAATGACTCAGTTAATCCATGGAATTATTAGATAGTGATGTACATATTGTTTGGTGTTTGACAAAAGTCAAATACACATAAAGTGAACTCATTTTTACTTAACCAGAATGAAACAAATTAATAGCTTTCTTTTAATCTTCTGAGGATTACTGAATGACTAGAGATTATTTGTGAAATTTTTACTCTTCCATATAAGTACAGATCGATATATGTTAGACCACTGTCGAAAACCTGGGAGCATTAGACAACTGTTTCGTCCTATTATGAGACTCAGCAGTGAGCATCCACGAATTCGCACCCAGTCTCACTCTTAATCGCTTAAACTCTAGAATATTGAGCTTAGATCGGTTCATGATTTGAATGTAATCCAACTATCTCCACAACTCTCAGACTGACATTCATCTTATCTCTTTAGCTTACATGTAGTGAAACGATACCTCATTAGGTTACTAAAACATTTAAATTCAGATGACGATGAGTAGCAGGTTGGAACCACTATTCACTCATTTCAATTTGAGCAACTGTATAGTATCAATAGTCTTAATTAAAATTCGTGATACAAATTGTTTAAGTGCATCAACATTTCTTGGTTAGCTATTTGCATTCCACTTGTTAATTATTAGAAAAGTTAACTAATTTACCAAGCGTATATTGGTATTCTCACCGTTGAGATCCTTTTTTTTAAAGGATACATATACTAACCAGCTGCCTTTTAACCGAATGACCTTTGGGGTGGCTTAATCATTGAACTATTGTGCCACTGCTCTATATTGACAATTATTTGTACACTACCAAAATATGTAAGTTATCATCATACTGGTCTTCATGCGAACTAGACATTCACCAGATATATCTAAAAAGCATAGATTGATCTTGTGCAACTCAGTTATAAGAACACTGATGCACTCTCCTGAAAGTGATATGCTGTTAGTGTCCTTTATAAAACTTTTTTTCGTCTACACATATTTTCATTTTCACTTTTCTGGAGGAAATATTTTGTTTCAAGTAAATTAAAGGCTTTTTCCATCGTTTTTATGAAATTCTTAGAAGCAAAACACCTTGCTCTCTTTTTCATGAAAAGACGTTTTCAAAATTAATTCAAAGTTCTTTCTTATTTTGTCGTTGGAATTAACACGTTTGCGTTCTTTGTTTGTTTACAAACAGACATTATTTCTATAAATAAAAATAATATATTTGTAATATCCCAATGAGTAGAAAATTGGATTTTTCTGACGTTTCGTGGCTTAGTGTAAGTCACTTCAGAGAATAAATAACTAAATTAAATTAATCCAAGTTTAAATAGTACTAAATCCAATGCTCAATTTATTCGAAATTATCGAATCAAACCTTGGTAATGACACCTACAGACATTATTTCTGTTGTTAAAACTTATTTAATTTATGGTTATTTTCATTGAATGGAATGTTTATTGTGTACCATTCTGTAGTTTCGTTTTTATGTTAAGAATTATCACTCATATATCGGTTTTGTCTAAGTAAACTTATTTTTTAATAGTTTTTTTGTCATATAGTGAGTCAGTCAGTCAGCTACAACGTAGGATCAGACACATGTATGCATCTGTCCAGGTTGCCATACCTTATTAGCACAGCAAGATGAACACCGGACTCATAGGAGTGGTTGGGTCAAAGGTGGTAATATATAGGAGAAAGATTGCATATAAGGATACAGTACAGGAAGAAAGAATTAGTTCGTAGAAAGAAAGATATAAATTGATTTTAACCTCATAGTTGAAAGAAAGGTAAAGAGTGTATGCACCGACGCCATTGTGATCGATTCTGAGCCATGTCACCAAGAGTCTCCAACCATCGGTTACGATAGTCACACGGACCCCAACCAAGTAGTCTGCATCTACCAACATGGCTCAGAATAGAGGTTAGTGTCTCCTAGCACTGATGCCACGTTTTGGTTTGGCCACCCCTAATTCTCTTCCAACCATCTCTAACACCCGTTAGCATTGCACGACGTGGTAATCGGTGTTCGGGCATACGTAACACATGGCCCAACCATCTCAGTCTATGAAGATCCACAACCTCATCAACTGATTTAACATCATTACCTAATACCCTGCGTCTAACCTCACTATTGCTTACCCGGTGATCCCAACAGACGCCCGCAACATTTCTAAGGCATTTGTGGTCAAATATTAGTAGCTTACGGATGTCTTCTACTCTTAAAGGCCATGTTTTGTTGCCGTAAATTAAAACAGAATGGACTCGTCCTTTTATTGATAGACGGATATCTCGCCTTCGTCATAGGTGACATAAGTTGGCAAAAGCCAAGCGAGCTCTTCGGATCCGTGCTGAGATTTCGTCAGACACCAACCCTTAGGGCTGATCAGACTTCCAAGATAAGTGAAGTTGTCAACGCGTTTGACTACTTCACTCCCTATCCTTAGTTCAGGTGTTGACGCAGACCAGTCCTGAAGCAACAACTTGCATTTAGAGGGAGAGAAGCGCATCCCAAACATTCTGGCATTGTTGTTTAGTGCTACCAGAAGACTCTGCATTTTGTCAGCGTCTTCACCAAACATGACTATATCATCTGCGTATTCTAAGTCGATAAGTGGACCTCCTGGAAGGAGATCAATACCCGAGAATTCAGTCGACGAGAATGTCATTTCCATCAATATGTCTATGATGAAGTTAAAAAAATGGAGAAATTTGAGTCTTCACGGACACCACTTGAGCTTGCCAAAGCAGATGACAGTTCGCCATAAGCTCTAACTCGACTGGTAGTGTTCGAGTAAAGAGCCTTTACAAGGTTTATGTACTTCTGAGGTACGCCTTTCAATGACAGGGTATCACAGAAGCTCTCAGTCTACAGAGTCAAATGCTGTTTTTGATTCAAGAAAAACCATCGTTGTCGGACGTCGATAAGCATGCTTGTGTTCTAAAACCTGACGAATGGTGAATATGTGGTCGATGCAGCCACGACCAGGTCTGAAGCCTACCTGATTTTTTCGTGTTTGTAGTTCATGAGTCTTAGTTAGGCGTCTGATAATTATCGAAGCTAGTATCGTAGATACTATATTAGTTAAACTAATCCCTCTATGGTTGTCCCAAGATGATTTTGACCCTTTCTTATATGTTGGGACGATAAGTGATTGTGACCAGTAAGATAGAATAACGTCTAACTCCCAGATCTTAGCTAAAATATTAGTCAACCTAATCGCTAAAATTGGACCACCATCCCTAAAGACTTCTGGAGCCAATTCATCTGGACCAGCTGCCCTTCCTCGTTTCAGATTAACTATAGCCTTTTGAACTTCTGCTAGAGTTGGAGGACCTACTTCAATGTTCCATTCACACTGTCTGGGAATGGAGGGTAGTTGTAGAGTCGCTGAAGGCCAGCTGGACTGTTCCCTAAAATGTTCCGCCCATCGTTCTAAACGTCTGGACTGGGAGCAGATGAGAGTGTCATCTTTTTCCGAAATAATCTCACTTTTATTAGTCTGTAAAGCTGTCTTGTGTTCCCTATAGTCGCCGTCTTTTCCATCTCTTTTGCTTTCGTTACTCACCACTGCTCACGGTCGTTTCTTAGACTCTTGGTTAACCTAGATCTGATTTGTTGTCGCTCTTCATCATGTTCGGAACCTGATGGGACGAGTTTGCGAGAATCCATCAGTGTGATAGACTTTGAAGAAATCCACTGGTTCTTTGTAACTGTGTGGTTTAAGTCACTAATAGATTTCATTGCTGTTTCCACAGCTGTTTGTTTAACTTTCCAGGCAACATCTGGGTCAGCCTCGTTTTCAGAACTACCTAAGTGTGACCTCAGTTGTTCCTGGAACCTACTTTGGTTTTCTCGTTACTCAACTCAGTTCTAATTGGTCTTTTTAATGTGGTTTTTTGCGTCCAGTGAGGCGCAAGCAGATGCATGCCCGTATTAGGGCATAGTCGGAGTCCAAGCAGGTACTCCAGAATGAGCGACAATCTTCTACCGACCCTCTCCAACGATGACTGATGGCAATATGGTCTATTTGAGTCCATCGTTGGTTTGGTGTAGGGGATCGCCATGTTAGACGATGTCTCTCCTTATGCTTAAAATTTGTGTTTGCTAAGAATAAACGATTGTCTGAGCATAGTTGCAGCAGACGATCACCATTATCTGTTCGTTGTGCCGGTATACTAAAATACTCACCTAAATGCCTTTCTGTTTGGTTTGAACTACCATCCCTAACCAGTAATCGCAATCATCTTGTGTACTATAACAATTAGGCAGTTTGCATCTACCTACATGGCCCTAACGAGCAGTCAATTGTTTCATGAACTAAAACCATATATTGCTTTACCCGTTCCTACCTTTTCTACAACCTACTCCAACAGCAATAAATAACAATTGTCGAGGTAAGCGTGACACATATAACTTGACACTGTATGGCTTTGGTGTATCGTTGCTGAAGATAACTGGAACAACCAAGATCCTTGACCAAACAGTTAAGATAATGCTCTATCACTTGATCAAAAACATTGTTATTATTTGCCTTCTCAGTGAAGCCTGAATTTACAAATGTGTTGGTGTCTTAGACAATTTTTGCTGGTTTAGTTGTCTGTCATATCTCAATGACGAAACGTTTGATATCGGTTAGAATTTTGTTATAAACTTTAGACAGGAACATACGGGCTTATTGTTACTCGTGATTTTTGTATATGCGTAGTTGTCATGGGATTTTTGCAGAGTTTGTTAAACGGTATATACGTACATATTTACTCATCTGCTGTCGTTGGTGTTTGAATAAATGAACAAATCTTATAAAATCACTGGAACGTTGCTAGCTGAGGAATGTAAGGTGAGTTCCTTCCTATTTGCAGCTCATCAGCCAGATGTACATAAGTCTCCCAGTCCAGTACTTTTCTCTTCGGACACTGATTATTTGAAGAATGATAGAAAACGGTGAAATAAACGGACATTTTTGCAGACGAAGGGCAATGAAAATTTTTATAATTAAAATAACATTACGACAACAAATACGGCTTTAAGTTAACTTAAATAATCAATCCGTTTTCGTTATACATAAAATAACTTTAATTTTTTAGATAAACAGCTTATCAATCTTATCTGTCATTTATTAATTTTTATTTCTCTGTATGCTTCTACATTAGTTCTTAACATCCTTTTCGTTTTCGGTATAAGATTTATGTCGGAGATCACTTACATCACGGGATAATCCTAGTCAAATGACCATTAAAGACTAGGAAGCATCGGACAGATGTTTCGTCCTAACACGAGACTCAGCGGTGCGCACTCATGGACAAATCGGAGATCGATCTCTAAATGCCGTCTGAGTGGTCCACAGGTTAAGCGCATGCTGCGAAACCTAAGGTCCTGTACCCGATCTGCTGTTGGGCGTGCATGTGAATCGCTGGAGAGTTTCTATTTATCTGTATAATTTCATTTTCACTTCAGTATTTTCAAACCAACAGAGTAAAATGTTTATTTAGAAAAATCTCACTTTGATTTGTTATATATTTGCTTATTGGATTGTCTACTCATGTTTACTGTTATCAATTTATATTATCTTGAACTTTTTGTCGATAGCTCAGTCATGAAAGCGTTCGACCCACTACGTCCCAAGTTTGAACACTTTTCCCCGAACTTCGCTACCGGAAACCGGGTAGTTTTATCGCCACCCACAATTAGAGTATGTGACCCATAATTAAGTACTCGACTAAGGAGTTCATTTAATTTAATTGTTAGTTAGTCCAATATTCTTTTTTTTTCGAAGAGCATTATATTTTCCATAAATTCCCAAAAAATCGTTTAGTAGTTTGTCTGACAAGGTTCTCTCTGTGATATCCTCAAAATAATGAGTTTATTCTGTTAAGAAAATGTTTTCCGAACTATATATATTTAAATGTGTGTACCAGTAATAGAAACTTGTTTACACTTTCGTCTTATTTAGGCTTCCATGTTCATTTGTAACTTATTGCATTCTTGGGTCGTATATAGTTCAATCAGAAGCTGGCGACCATGATCCGACTCAACATATTGGCATAAAATATATACAAGATCATCCATTTGCTCCTCATATGCTTCAAACACCTGAAATGTTAGGAAGAATTGTTGAACTACACAAACTTCATCGGTAAGTTATATATACTTTTTTGGTATGAGATTTCGTGTGGGATGTACACTACGAGTAACAATGACACATCTTTGCTAAAATTACATCAGATATTTGTCTGAATATTATTTCTTGTTTGCTTCACCGCCTTATCATTTTTGCGACATTCATTAAATGCTAACATTATATAGCTTAGTGTTAGAATTCTGGTTCCTTGTATATATTCAGCCTACCTGCTCATGGACGTTAGTTAAACAAAGGGTTATTTTTTTAAGACCGAAAATACAATAAATACTTCATAAAACTCGAATACTCTGTACAATTTAATTAGCATTAAGATATTTTCAGTCAATAAGAAATGATGTAATATTTTTTTATTGATATATTTTGTTAGCATGATTTCTCTCTCCCTGTTACTCTTTTACCATACTGTCACCACGTTCTATTCACATTAAAGGGCGTCATCTTATTTATATGATACCTAGTTAACACTACGTCCTAATAAACTCAGTCAGTCAGTAACAACGTAAAACTTCGTGCGTACGTACGTACCTCATTTCAAGTTGCCATACCATACAATACAATTAATTTTGTCAAACCCTTTTATTAACTTATTTAAGACAGCGTTATCCGAACAGTAACAATATGTCTATTTCTTTGCATTATTATGATCATTATCATGTCTGTACACACGTGTGTTATGATCACATGTGACTTCCTGCGCAAATATTCCTTACACTAACTTGAATGTTACTCACTTAAATGTCGCTCGATGAATTATTCGCTCTCCCATACATATATGTGCTTGAATCTTTCTAATTGCATTTGCCTTGCTTTGCATCGTCTCGATTCGATTTGACTCTAAATCCACCTCTGTATCCGTTTGCTCACTCTCATTTACCTCTCTGCTCAGATACTCTTGATATGCTTGTAACTTTGTTATCTGTGCTATCCAATAAAATGTAGTCGCCGCATCGTATTGCCTTCTGAATTCGTATACCGTCGGAATTAATCTGATAACGGTTATCAGAGTGATTAGTAATCGAAGCCAAGCCACTACAACAGGTATTTTAGATGTTAGATTAATTAGAAGTTTCCTGTAATCTTTTTTAAATGTATGCTGCAAGATCGTATATTTTTGTGTAATTCTTCAATTTCTAGACAGATTTATTCGTAGTCGAATTGTTTAATCTTTTTTATGTCAACTATCGCCAATCGTTACATCTACGTTGTGGACGCAAACTTATAGACAGTAAACCAATTTATTATCTTTGCAAAATCATACGGTAGCTTTGTAAAATATGTAAATCATACACTAAATACGTCATTTACATATCTTGCTTTACTTATCTTTTGCATACTTCATAATTTTTCCGATACTGTTGTTATTCCGATTTCTCTTCGTTCTCCTTCCTCTTTTTATTTCGCTTTACTGATGGTAAATATTCTAATTCACGCTACATACTACTTATATCTGTACGCATATGTTATGTAAGTCATATGCAAACTTAAATTACACTTCTTAAACTCCTTATCCACCATAAAATAATACTGTTTACTTTTCATGTCATTCTTTTTTGTTCTCTCTATCTAGTGGTAAAACACCTGAGGAGGCTGATCGTTTATTTTTAAATAATGCTCGTAAATTGGCCTTGTATGGTGTTGATTTGCATAAAGTTAAGGTGAGTTACTTTGATTGTGTATACGTGTGTGTTCTGTTTCACTTCATCCAACCATCCATGTTTACTTGTTTTTCTCCTGAATATATGTAACACGTTTTATTTAAATCATAAACTGATCTCATTTAGATCATCATCGGAACAGCTGTTTACTCTTAGCACTGTGACTTCTCTTTAGTGTTGATCCAAGAACGCGCAACTGGGAATTGGACGCTACATTATGTCTTACTCTTAACCTCTAGACCACCTACCTGGCATTCCAAGGTGTATTCACCCAACTTCAGTGAATTCACGATGTTGCGCGGCCATCTCAGATTGTCTTCGAGGATTACTTACTTCATAGCTGATGCGGTCGACATTGTGTTAGTTTGCATGTAAAGCTTACTTAAAAGATATTTTTAATAGGCCTAATTCAATATGATAGAGTCAGTTAATGTATATTTAATAAAAGTAATTTTCTACTCATCTCATATCCACTGGTGTTGGAATCGTTTCAACGAACTTCAGACACATACTAGCATAGTAAGATAAAATTGTCACGAGAAATGCTAGATTAGTGGTAGAATCGATTAGGCATAATATTTGAAACGAATGAGTTAGATTTGTTCATGTAGTGTTATTACTTGTGACCTGTATGCCCTGTTAATGTATAATGTAACGATACCGCCAATTAGAGAGCAGTGAATTATCTATCGGACCAATGACGCGTAAACCCGTATGAGCAGTCTAGAGTATTTATCGGTCCTTCTTCCTGCCTAGCCCAGTCAGTTAAGTCGAGAACACCAATCTCAGCCTCTGAAATACAAATCATTTATTTCAAGCATACGGGGTTTATATACCAATCAGACAGACCACATCGTACCATAAAATAGGAAACAACATTTGTACAAGTTTTGGTCAAATGTGGCTGTGAATGTGGGAGTTAGTAATTAATAGACAGGGCATAATTCAAGAATGGTAAATCGTATAATAATAGTTCATAGTTCAAAATAAAGCTCATAAGAAAAGGGACATGAATATGTATAGTTTAGTTATTTAACAATTATACGATAATAATATACACATAGTATTGTTCCATAAATGGATCTCAAAAGTTACCATTCATTATGCTTAACTGGATCTAACAAGTAGATAGTTTTTGAAACTCAAGATCTAAGGGAAAACAAGGAGTGAATTTATCTACTACTAATTGTTACCGATTTCTAGTCCTGTCGCTTGATATCTTCACAATTCGTTACAATAACTCAGCCATGTAGCACATCCCCACTAACACAATGTAATTCAAATAACATGTAGTGACTTCGTAAACTAATACCACATCAAAGTTTAGTCGCTTTTAGCTTTCTTCCAACATACACCTACACTACCAAACATCAAGGCAGTCAGTTGTTTTGCACTAATATAATTCAAACAAAATTACTACCAAAACTACGGTCTTCATTATTCGACTATCAAGGAATAGTTGACAAATGTTTGAATCTTTTATCGTAAGAAATTTCAGTTATGCTTATGTGTTGTTTTTCTAAGGGTGTATATTTACGACTTTTGAAAACCCTTCGCACAATTTTGTCGGTTACTAATCTCTAATGTGCAAATTTTTGTCGGCCCAACAAAACTCAATTTCCTGAACACAACAACCAATAAAATTATACTTCTGTCTATCTTATCTGACAGAATCTCTGAAACCACTACCGAAATTTACTCAACTAAATTTTTGGTGGTAGTGTAGCTGTTTAACTAATCAAAATCTATATAGGAGGCTTTGAGCTATAATGTTTCTGGCAGAGCGAGTTCATTTCATTCGACTACTCAAATCGAAGTAATCAAAGCAGAGCTCGGACCCGCAAATGAATGAAAAATTAGTGTTTATATACCACCACCTTTTTTAAGCTATGCAAATGCATTCAAGAAGTCGCAGTCATACACAGTTACGGTACATTGAAATTGTCAAGAGTATCTATACTGTAACAATATTCGTGTCTTCGTGACGTTCATGTTACTTCTAGCCTCGTGTTTTGTAGAATTAGTTGTGAAGCCTGACCATTACAGCCACGTGACATGAAAACTAGACTCCTACCACACCATTCACTCAATTTTTTAGATATTAGTTTTATTGCTTCATCCAATTGTTTAAGTACTAAATGGTTCCTCTGTCACATATTGTCTTGCTATCTCCATCAACATCTTTCTGTACATTCATAATCAACCTCCGTCTTAACTGCCTATTCAAACTCTAAACTTCTTTTTTCGGCTTCCCCCCTCAAGTGTCACCATAGTCAACGATTCTAGTGCTCAAAACACTGTCCCAGGTCTACTGAAACCTCGCTCCAAACTACATATCGGAGCCTTCAACGTACATACACTATGTCAAATCGGTCAGCAGGCTTCCTTGGCTAGAATCCTAGAATCTCGTACCATTGATGTATGCTGTGTCTCCGAAACACGCATACAGGATCCCAGTGTGAACATTCACTTGACCTCACCTCGACAACACAGAGAGCCAACGAGATACACCCTCCGTGTATCTGGTGACCCAATGGCCAGCTCTCGTGGACTGACAGGAGTAGGGATAGCACTAAGCATGAGGGCGGAACAAGTACTGTTAGAGTGGATCCCCGTCAACAGTCGTCTATGTGCTGTTCGGCTAAACGGCTCCGTAAGAACTCGGAAGGACAGGGACACACGTCGTTGCCTTTTTGTCGTTTCTGCCTACGCTCCCACTGACTGCAGCCCAGATGAAATGAAAGATGAATTTTACAGAAAGCTAAACGTTCAGACATAGTACTTGTAGCAGGTGACCTTAATACCCAGATAGGTAGTTTAAACCAAACAGAAAGGCATTTAGGTGAGTATTTTAGTATACCGGCACAACGAACAGATAATGGTGATCGTCTGCTGCAACTATGCTCAGACAATCGTTTATTCTTAGCAAACACAAATTTTAAGCATAAGGAGAGACATCGTCTAACATGGCGATCCCCTACACCAAACCAACGATGGACTCAAATAGACCATATTGCCATCAGTCATCGTTGGAGAGGGTCGGTAGAAGATTGTCGCTCATTCTGGAGTACCTGCTTGGACTCCGACTATGCCCTAATACGGGCATGCATCTGCTTGCGCCTCACTGGACGCAAAAAACCACATTAAAAAGACCAATTAGAACTGAGTTGAGTAACGAGAAAACCAAAGTAGGTTCCAGGAACAACTGAGGTCACACTTAGGTAGTTCTGAAAACGAGGCTGACCCAGATGTTGCCTGGAAAGTTAAACAAACAGCTGTGGAAACAGCAATGAAATCTATTAGTGACTTAAACCACACAGTTACAAAGAACCAGTGGATTTCTTCAAAGTCTATCACACTGATGGATTCTCGCAAACTCGTCCCATCAGGTTCCGAACATGATGAAGAGCGACAACAAATCAGATCTAGGTTAACCAAGAGTCTAAGAAACGACCGTGAGCAGTGGTGAGTAACGAAAGCAAAAGAGGTATGGCATCTTGGACCGATGCATATGTGTGCCTGGTCCTATTTTGTAGCTGACTGGCTTAAATCTATCTTTCATTAATATGTGGGAAACAATGAAACTCCATTATCTATTAACAAATAGTGATTTACTTTTTACTGAATAATATAAATTTATTGAAATATAATTTATCATGAGTCATTACTTCTTTTAATGCATTATATAAGTAAATACCGAAATTAGTTTATAGTATTTGGCCGACTAGTCTGTCATGTTATCAGATCCTCAACTGAGCGATAAACAGACAGACAAATGTTTTGTAAAGTTCAAGCAGTCCAACTATCTAAAATTAAATTAATGTTCTACATTCTTTGGTTTATTCATTTATCTATATCTTGAATTCCACTAGATTTTAAATTACCAGACTTCATCACTTATCTAATTGCCTCATACATGCATACGCAAATTGACTTTGTACGTGTTTATGTTCGCGTCTACATGTCTGTGTATCTACTATTGTCAAAATTAGATTGGTTGTTTGCTATTAATGTTTTGTCTTATTATCTGTCGTTGGTTCACAAATTTTACTAATCAGTTTTTTTATTTATTTATGTAGCTGGCCTTATTGGTAGGATTTTTAAACATTAAATAAGTGACGTTAACGTGTTACACATTTATTTGGTTTATCCATTTGAACTTATTGTTTAGGTCGTGTTTAACTCTTCCATATATTACATTAATATTAGTTTAATATATCAAATATATGAATATGTAAAACAAATATAATTACTAGCTGAGTATTAGTATTATTTGGGGGGCAGGTAGGTAGTAGCCCACATAAATTTACCAGAACTGCTAGTCGACTCGTAGATAATCAATCAACCTAAATGAAACCAGCTAAGACTTATCAATTATTGACAGTTTGTGGAATTAATTATTTTAAACGCCAAATAATCAAATCAATGGTTAACTCACGAAAGAATAAGATACGTGCCTGTGAATTTGTTGTGCATTCAACCTTCAGTGTTCTATTCATTTATTGAGTTGATACTAAATATTAGAGCATCATTTTCCCTGAATGTTTCATTTCAAGCCCCAACTTTCACTTTTTTCATTCAGCAAATTGAGATGTGCTACGATCAGGTGTTGACAGAAGACATGTAGATAGCGTTAGATGGTAAAATGAAATCCACGATGCAGCACTGACACAATATATGAGCGGGAAGATGTTAAATATCACACTTTTACTGAACATTGAAAGAAGATAGTTATCCTCAACATTTCCGAACCGTAAATTAGAATTACACTTCATTTATTTTTGGCCTGCCCAGTTGGATGATGTCAATGGTGCTTTTGCAAATAAAAAAATTCGTTCAAAGCGAACTACATAAATTCATAACAGCTTATACTAATTACGGTACCTCGAATTGATCGGTGCATTTGGAGTATGAAATTTAAATTATTACTGGAAGTCCTTTGCTTTAAATTCCATAATGATTGAAACACATTATTTTCAACTTTATTGATGTGTTTTCACCACAATACACACTTTTGAATTAATTGAGTGTCCAAGTAATTCGGTTCGAGTTTCATTTGCCTTATTGTAACTACTACCTCGATTTAGTCGTTAGGATAACCCATAATAAACAAACCCTTTCGAGCTCTATTGGATGGAACATTCGATCCTTTAGATTTTACCATTCTAGCCAAGTTGTTTGGAGAACGACATCAAACTCCGTACTCCAAGAATGATGTTTGTGTAAGAGTCTTGTGATAGTAAGTTGTTTCGTTCAAACAGCTAGAATCTACAGGAGGACGACGTTAGTAATAGTCATCTCAGGCATATTTGTAGATAAGGATAAACACTCCGTTTGAATGTTCAGTTATTATTTTTTCGGCAGATCCAGAAAACTCGAAAAAAACCAACAGATACTTTGAAAACGCTAAGAAGCATCATATCCAATTAGCATTCAGTATAAATTTTTCCATAAACATCTAGAAAGTGAAAAGTCACATGTCCAGTTTCTGGTTGGATGATTAACTTTACTGCCACTATGTTTAGTAGCGTTCCAGAGTTTTCCGAAAACCATTGGCCATCTAAAATACTATGAAGACCCTAGATTTTCTGCACATAAACGAACCTTTGGAGGAAAGCGTTTCTTCCATATTTAGAGCCTTTTCTCTCACGTTGAGTTGCTGTGTAGATCTAGCCCGGAGGTTACTAGAAGAACTTAGGAACCGAATCTAGCGTTCAATTAGAAGACTTATCATTATTCTCCTGCCAAAAGATTATCAACTTAAATTTTATTTATTTATTTGAACACATAAATATTGGTACAAGAGAGCGCCAATATATATGCGCCACACAAAACAATGAGAATTCGAAGAGAAGTAGAAGGAAAGAAAAAAAAAACTAAGGAACGCAAAAGAAAAAGAGAACAATGACGAAGAGATTGGAGTAAGGTAGTGTGGTAATGATTCTATTCTGTGCAAACTAACAAAATTCGTAGTAATAACGAAAGAATATATCTGTGATGAATTTCTGTCTTACTACGTGTAACATCTTACATCAATGTTGAGTTTGGTGCCTAATAATTAAATAAATATTCAAGCCTGGAGGTCTCACCAAATCAGTCGGTGTCTCTGACAAAATCTCAGCGTAATACAAGAACTTCATGTGGTCTTCACCAACATGAAATACAAATGGTACCAGTCAAATATCCATCTATAACTGAAGAGGTGATAGTCTTCTACTCATCAGTTTACCCTACTGTTATTTTTTTGTGAAATTTAGTCTAGTAAATGTTAGTGACATGCACTTCACAAGATAAATTCATAAATAGTATTAAACACATCAAATCGATTAGTGCGTTTATCACATATTCCACAGATGGTTAATGTTCTCTTTCTATGCGAGTTCATAAAATTTCGCGTCGTTTGTTACACGTACATTGAATTTTTACACTATAAACCACTAAGTTGTGAAATTCTAAAGTCTCATCTCTTGTATCGCTTACTTGGTTTTTGGTTTTACACATGCATAAGAAAATTATGAATACACACAAGTAATTTACTCTTTGTGATTGTCTAACGGACATATTTTTTCAACTTGCATTTATTTCCATCATGTAATAATATATATAATAAATGAAATAGATCTATGTTGTAAATGTGTACAGATTTCTATTGAGGATGGTGGTGTTGATCCACAAAATAAATGTAATTGTGAACTTCACGCGTGCATATTGGATCTTTTTTCAACTATATTGTTGTTAGATTGTTAGTTTGTTTTTATGCTTTCACTAGAAAATCTTCGTCTGGTCGTGTGTTTAATGCAACTAAAATGTTCGATATCTTTTCCCTATCAAATACACTTGATTTTTTCATGAAAAATGACAGTAACCGACAGAATTGCTATTTCGTCACTCGTCTCTTTATCCCGATTGAATTGAGCGCAGTTTGTTTCTTCGTGTTAAAAATAATAAACCCAGCCCAGTAGTCAAAAGATCGTTTTGAGTTCACTAACTCAGTGTACACCAAAAATATGTGATATTAATGCTTTTACTAGTATTTAAAATTATCTTATTGACATCGGTCATTAACAACAGAAGATTGAAAATATCATCTTAGTACCCTGTTCAATTTACCACTTGATTCCACAATATTTAATATCAGTGGAAGTGAAAGCGCAGAACTGATTTATATATAGTTGAGGTTTTATTTAATTTTATGCCACACAGATTCAACTTTTGACTAAGACTAATCAGGTTATGGTGTAAATTTCATAAGGTGAATAAATTTTTTAGTTTGCAATTACTAATATGTATATTTATAGTGTTCCCTCAAAACTCTAACTTACTTGGTTCTACTTCAGTGTTGTTTTCTCTCTATTTATCTCACCTATCATTTAGAATAAATTATACAGTATTAAGTATTATAATATTTTCAGAGTTTCTTCATCCAATGTTCTTTTTTCGTCGTATTTTTACAGACGTCTCAAGGTCAAGATATTACTCTGGGTGTTTATTATGGAGGTATCCTGCTATACCGTAATCGTATTCGTTTAATGAGAATTAGTTGGCCGCGTATTATAAGTCTATCACATCGTGGACGTAATTTTATTATTGCACGAAGACCTGGTGATGATTCATTAGATCGTAATATGACTTTTAAATGTATTAGTCCTACACTGGCTAAACGATTATATAATGTTTGTGTGGACCATCATAATTTTTTCAGGTTAACCATTTTTTTCGTTGCTTAATGATAATTCTTTTGCATACAGTATATATATATATATATATTCATTATTATTTTTTCCACTTCAACTTCCAAAATACCGCAGTGTTGATACGTTGGACTTTCTGAAAAATCGTTGTTCTTTCCTTCGTTTTGTTTTATTGTTTATCATAGAATCTAACACTATTTCTATCGACTTCTGTAGTACACTCGTCTAGACAAATATATCTCTTGAATAAGCTGATTTCATTGGACAAGAAAATTATCCATAAATGTCAATGAGCATTCACAGTAATTGGTTGTAATGCCTGTCAACTGAGTCATTGATTTGAACAGTTTAGAGGTTTCTTATCGTTCCTACTCTTGTTTATCTTAATTTCATACCTATGGATTCGGATTTTTAGTCAGTTAGTTTAAAGAAAATTTTATCAGCGTAACTATAATACTGCATGTTGTAAAAACTTTGACCTTTAAATTGTTTTTAAAATAAATATCTTTTATCGCAAAATACATTTGATGATATCTAAGCCAACGGAAATGAAACACTGATATTTAAGACAGATTAAAAGTAAAATTCATGTTTATTCAAACACACAGATTCGCTCCAACTCATGGGACTAAAAAATGGCCTTGAAACTATTGCAAGGGCTTTGGTCTGGGCACCCGGGTAGCATCACACCCCATACACAAATCAAGTGACTTGTGTGGCGCATATGTATTTGGTGCCCTTTTGTTCCAATATTTATGTGTTCAAATATATAAATAGGTTACAGAGGCTGACAAACAGCCGAAGTAAATAATACAAAAGATAATCAGTAACTTCTGTAGTAGTTTTGCACAATCAGAATGCAAATGCCTATAGATCTTATTCTATCCATTTTATTCTTAAGAAAGCTAATCAACCTATTCAAAGAGGTAAATTCCCACTTAGGTGATTCATGGAAAAAAAGAAACATAAAAATTACAGCTAGTGGGATATGAGCAATCACGAATATGATAGAAGGGATTGTAAAATTCAACTATTTCTTCTAACATTTTCGTTGGAGATTTACGTTATCTGGAAAAATGACAGCCACTAGACAATCATTAAATTCTAAATTGGGATTCATCACAACTGTGCACCCCATGACTCAGAATGTATTCAATTATTAATCACTAGATCAAAGGTTCTAATCTCACACCACTTACTTTGGTTCAAGAAACCGAGTAGTATCACAAACCGTCACGCATAAATTGGGATTCATAATCAAGTACACGAATCTGTACTCAGTAATTAAGTTGCATCAGTTTTCGGCTTTCTACTTCAATCAAGTCATGATACATAGCGTGATTTTCATTCCTTTGTAACCGATATGTTATTTTCGACCTAATTGACTTTAGAAGGTGGTGGGCTATGATATTGTACCAGATCTTGACAAAGTCCATCTCAAATCTTGTCACTAATAAACCCAAAGTTACGTTTATCATTATTAAATGTTGTGTAGTGGTTTTGTGGAGACTTTCACATTGACGATATATTTTTATCATAAGCTAATCTAATGTCATTTGAATAACAATTGAAAAGTAAGAACCATTAGGTTAACTATTTTGTAACAAGTTTTGTCTGTATATATATTGTTCTTCAGGAAAAAACATAATATTGAATGATCCGTTATACTCAACGTAGAATCTGGCACATGTTTACATTGATTCGATTTGCCATACCCTAATTGCACATCGAGATGAAATTGCCTAGAGTAGTGGAGAAAGTGATGACAGCATTAATAGTCATAGAAAAAAGTTAGACATCGAAGATATGATTCGAGAAGAAAGTATAGTTTATCGGAGTGAAAAGAAACTTTATACGGGATGACAAGGAATGAATGCATTTGCGCCAATGGGAACAATTCGGAGCCTTATCACCCAATGTCTCTAACACTAGTTGTGGAATGTCATTAATAAGCTGTTTCACTTGATTGTTGACTGTCTTGCTCTGGTCGTCAATTAATTTGTAGTGCTAATCTAATTACACTGTCAGCCAATCGAAATATAGTTTATATGTTCACAATGTTTTCAGACATTTTATCTATTCCATTGTAAGCTAGACACTGTACACTGGTCAACCCATTTAGCTTTCTGAAGAAGAAGAAACACCAATCCGAGATTATATTTAAAATTTATCATGCCGCATTTCAAATTTCTTCCTGTTTTTCATTTGGGAAAATATGTTTATTCAATTACTTATAAATACGAAAAATGACTTTGTATAGGTTTTTTACGTAAACCAGGTTAAAGCCATTGATTTTTCCACAAATATATATTCATCTGTTTCTCGACAATTCGGAATCTTTTTATTTGATTTAAGGATAAGAAAAGCAGTATTGTTTTCTCTCAAGTTTTCATGAATTGTTGTATTCTATTCTTCGACCTAACCTTGCTTTTTGTTATTATGATTGTTATTACGATTATTTTGATTTACGTATGTTTACATAGACTTCGTGGGTCGTCTAGACCGAAAAAACCGAGTTTATTCCCTTCGTTTGCTACTCGCAAATATCATTATCCTGGCACAACTGTGAATTCATCTTCGATCGACGCTACTGTCGGTGTCGGTGGACATAATCAAACATCTCGACCTTTATCTAAATTTCGTCCAATGCCTGCCCATCCTTCAGAGACTGGTAAGAGTAATAGATAAGTTTCATTTGTTTTTATGTGTTATTCCATTGTGCTCAACATTAAATCATCTTGTATCGGTTTTAAGTCGTGATATGATGGTTAAACATAATACTGAGTTGACTAAACGGAAGGTGTGGTGAGGTTTAGATTTGTTTTACTTCATTGTGGAGCAACCACTTTAGTGGTTAATGTGTTTTACTTTCCACTACAGTCACAAGTGCGAGTCTCTGTGTATTTCGGTTTAGGCAACCAGATAATACTAACCCTCATAAAGGAAGTTTAGTTCGAAGCCGAATACATTGATCTTGGCAGTTGAGTTACATCTAACTATCTTGATGATTACTGAATATTTTATATAGTTCTAAATATTCTAGACGTGATGACTATTGGTCTGGGCACCCCCAAATGCCCTGGTATGACCGAGAGTGGGGTGGGCCCTCCACCTCTCTCGAAATGCTCTCACACGGACATGCGTATACAGCCTCTGTCAGGGAAGTCCTACTGATTGCCTTCTCGTGGCGGGGGTGTTGTTTACGAAAATGAGAGGACGAAAAGCGAATGTCCGGCGCTTTAACCGGATCACAAACCAATGGTGCACATGGGCTCCAGTATCCCGCCGGAACAAATGGCGTATGAACCAATTTTCGGTCACCGGCTACCATGGGACTGCATCTCCTCACGATGTTCCATTGTCTTGTAGATCAGACCTTTAGGTCAAAGGCTCGGGGGGGGGGTCCCCTAAGAAAACCACCTGCTTCGGTTTGGGCACCCGGGCAGTATGACAGCCCGCACATATACAAATATGGTGTGGCGCATATATATTTGGTGCCCTCTTGTACCGATATTTATGTGTTGAAATAATAATAATAATTGGTCTGGGCAAATACACGTAAATTTAATATTGGATATTATTGCTAATAATACAGTCGTTGCACTGTAAAACTTCAATTTTTAAACCATCATTGGCCATAATGAAAATACATCTAAATTTTAAAGATATGATTCAATTTTCTTTTTTTATTTGAACTAAGCGTCTAACCATAAAACATCAGATCAAGTTATACCAATAATAAGAGGTGATAAATTGTCTCCTTCATGTAATGAAATTATAACAGATTTCTTGAATTGTTTATTCTGTCTGTGTAATCGTGCCGCAATACACGAAAGCAATTGTATTGATCTAGTCCGAATATTGATTAATTCTTCCTAGATTATCTATCTAGTACCGACGACCTTCTGCTTCACAACCATAATATGATAGTGATAAAGCAACCGAGAACAATACTTAACAACTATTGGCCCAAAATACGATTCTCCCGCGTCCGATCGCGAATCGTTACATCCTAATATGAAGTAGAATCCTTGCCACACAACAATATAATTAAGAAATTACGAAATTGTCATAATTACCCCATATATGAAAGTAAACTGAGTATTAAGTTCGTAATAAATTAACAGTAGCTTAAAAAAGATATATACGATAACAGTTTATACATCACGTAAAAGCTTACAAACAGTAGAATAAAATAATTTACGCATTCAACAATCATACTGCAAAAATGTTGACAATAATTTCTGATAGGGTAGTTCCAAAGGTTCAATCCTCTTAGTATTTATCCTGTTAAAGCATTTGCTCAAACCTCTAAATCTTTTGTTTGTTAAATATAAGCTTAATTCAAGACAATACAACACTAACTATAAATCCCGTATGTTTTTTTAAATATAAACTTGATCAACAACAAATATGTGATTGTGATAATCTATCAATTAAGCTTTCTGACATTTTTGTTTGAACGTTTGTGGTGATCTGTATGTACTATCGATCTCAGTGATGAATGTAAGAGCTATTATGCATAATATTGCAGTCATAAATTCAATAATTCTTATTATATTACATCTTAGTTTAAATTCATAACCTAACTTGGTGTTAAATTGATTTATGACCCAAAATACCGAACGACAATGCACTACGATTTGCGAAAATCTCAACACATACGTCGAAATATCTAAACCATTTTTTAAAGTCTAAATTTTATCAGTAACCGTGGATTTTATTTACCTGTATTTTTTAAACGATTAAAGTTATAGAAAGTAACAACTACTGCTCCAAGGACTTTACAATTAGTTTTATGTCATAACTTAATTTGCCCACTGTAAGACAATTCACTAAACTAATCAAGGAAATGCCTATATTTTATATATATTTTACAGCGTTGATATGATTACATCAAAAATTCTATGATCAAAGCAGTTTTCGGTAACTTATGAACCTTACAATTCATTATTTAGAATAGATGGTTTACGGTTAGAAGTTAGTATGCATTTCATTCCATTTGCGACGCAGCTGGACATACTTGTCACACTCCTGTGTTAGTGTCCGGTACTGAGACTCGAATCTAGTACCTTCCATTTAAAAACAACTTTGTTATCCTCTGATCTACTGAGTTCCGGTAGCCGTTAGACTTTTTCAACGGTTATGATGTTTGCATCATGAATAGTAGGGCTTTACATAACTCTTATTACAATCTTGTTCACATATCTGTTCTCTACATTTAATATTATTATCTATATCAAGCTGATCATACCTGTAAGCTGTCATGAATTCTGAAATTATTATTTTCAGAATATGTATTATATGACTATTGTTATTATTATTTCATTGTTGTGCTTACACCATACTTCAAATAATCCATTATCGTTTTTCCCACATAGGATGGTTTACATTTGCTAACCGCGGTGAAAGTAAGTCATATCTGTGTCATTTTCCCATATATATATATATAGTTTGAATAGCGCTTGTAGGTACAGGTTAGTGTGTTTCACATCGTTTCTCATATCATATTTAAATTTTTCTTCGCTCAATCGAAACGGATTGTGTTACTTTATAGTTGTGGAATTGTCGTCTAGTTATATTTTGATGATAACAATAACATATCAGGGTTTCCCTTTCACCTATAGTAAATTCTGTTTACAAACATTTGAGGATGCTTGTAATACACGATGCAAATATGAAACTCGAACAGATTGGATGTCTGTTACATGTTAATAGCGAATACATGACTTTCAGGTTAACTTAATTTCACATTCAGAAGTTCAAGAATTGAACTCGAGTAACTGTTTATGTAGTAACACTTAATGACCTTTGATCAAATAACAAAGTTAGCAAGGTAAAAACTATGACAATCAACCAGGTGACACCAGTTGTTATTGTTGAGTTATGAACCAGGAAAATGTCATAGAAATGTTTTTTCTTGTAGAAAGAACTAACACATAATATCAAAGCACTAGATAACCCTATCTCTTAATGTTTATATGTATGAATCATATTCACAGTTTACTCAATCCTAACGTTTATGTGTTTATCCAACTGCGTACAGTTAGTTCCAGTTGATGTGTGTTGTCTGACTTCTACTGATATAAATCAGGCAACTTGATTTTATAAGCTAATAGTCATTAATGTTTGTCGCATCTATATCTAACCTATTATTCCAAAAGAATAATAATTACGAAACCTTTTTACTGTGTACAATTTGTCAAGTCTTTACTGTACATATGTTTAATCATTTGACTACTTAATTATTATTCAACTGAACTATACGCTTTATCTTCGATAATCGAATAAAATGACTTTTATTATGGGACAATATATGCAGTGTGTAAATCTGCAGTGCTATCAGTTAGTTATAGTCGACTGAAATCAAGAAATAGCTTGTTTATGTTTAATTTTCAGCATTCAACTAATAATAATGAACTACGAATCTTCAAATATTCTTCCTCCATCCCATCTTTAATGAACAATATCACTTGTTTTCACGAAAATACGTGATCACCACTTATCTCAACTCAGGATGTTCGATTACCTAGTTCAGAAAAAAGTTAAGAGTTGGCCAAACCAAAATGTGAAGTCAGTTCTTTGAGTCATTAACTAATTTGTCCGATCGAATGCTTATGTTTGAAAATTATCTGATTGTAGTTCGCGAGTTTATTGTGATCAATGGTTGAAGACGTTGAGTGATAATACTCTGAATCGTTCTCAGTAGTACAAATATATTCTCTCTCTACCTTCCCTTAGAACTTGAATCTTAAAACTTCTTGTATCTTCACTAATTCATCATTTCCGAATTTTCTGTATACTTAGTCGTTATTTCGTCATCGCCGACCTCACTACTACTTTGATATTCATCTCGCTGTACTTATTCAATACGATTACTTGAATCGATGCACAAATTCGCTAAGTTTTACGTTGCTTATAACTGACTTATAAATGACGTTTATGTGTAATAAAGTCAGTAAGTTTCTAAAAAAAAAATGTTTAGTCATAGTGCATATTGACTGACTTAATGGTTTTTTCCTTACTTTCTATTGTATTCATGGTTTGAGAAATGATTTGGTTCCCTAATCAATGCTTCCTAGGCAATTTCGAAAGTTTTTTTTAACCAGCTTTGCGATAGTCTCCACGAAAAGTGATAGTTTTACGTTGACCGGTTGTAGCTTTTGTACCACGATTACAGATGACAATATCATAATGGTTACCTGGCAAATGCTTCTCAATATACATAGTATTAGGGTAAGATCCCTGGTAAAGTCTACATAAAAGATATTTTGATGTCTGGTAGGGCTATCGGCATACTGAGTCCACTGTCCAAGCTCTAAGCTCAATAAACGATCCAAAACCTTTCGGCGCCTTAATTGGAAACCAGGAAATTTCGGGCATGATGTAGGCATTCGAATATACTTGCCAGTGAATGATAAGGATAAGGCGAATGTGAAGACTTCTGGTAATGTTACCATTCTTCCTGTTGGTAGATTAGGTTGAACATAAAGACCTCCGAATAGCAAGAAAACTGAATTTGATGACTTTAGAACACATTACACAATATTATGTGGTGTGTATACAAACAGGGCTAAATCCGTCCTTTCACTACAGATCGTCCAAGCTTTAATAAAACATACATTAAACAAACTGCTCATTGAGTGAGAGCATTTAGATCAAAAGAGTTATCACATCCCTCAGTAGTGTGATGTAGGTTTAAAATTAAGGATTGGTGGTCCCTCAACAACACTTTTTTAATAACAACAGTTATAGGGGGTATATAAATTGAGCTAGTGAATTTGCTTGCAGAGTATAAGCAGGAGGAAAGGGTGAGAATACTGAATGACTGAAATTGTGAAGAAGTAGCAAGTTTGTATTTCATATACGGATTGACATGGCTTTAATGTGATGACTCGCCAGAGGTGATACTAAGAGCTGTATTCGAAAATATATATTGTACGAAGTACCGCTATTTGTATCGTAGTCCTGATAGTAAAGCACGTAGCGTGGGCTAAAGCTATTTGCATTAGCGCCAGCTTGAAGAGGATTTGCTGCACTTAATTAGAAGTTGTTATGACCGTTTTTATATTTTGCAGCCATTCGTGTTTGGTGGGTTGGTACTGTGTCAAAAACCTCTAAAATAGTACCGTTCACCGAGAAGTATCAGTTAAGTATGTTGAAATACTCCCAGGCGCTTTTAACTCAGTCTTACCATTGAATAAATTGACAAAAGTTTGAGTCACGGAAGAATTAAAAACACAAACTAACCTACTGCTAGCCACAGATAGACAATCAAGAAGTGCAACACAAAGGTTTTCTGCAGCTGATGAAAGGCAGACAAAAACACTCAGTGCACATAAATATATGTTGTTCGGCGTTTTCCGAATTATACAGATCTCTTAAAGGCACATGTGCTACTAAGTTAAGCTAGCCTACAAACATACCACAGACCTGAGGCGCTTCTAATACGTATTAACTTATTTGAGGCAACCCATCCAAGGTCGCCGTAATAAAAAAGCAGTGATTTTATTTTTCAAGCTAGCTTTGATTCTGTGCTAGCGAACATACATCACTTTTGCGCGACAGAACCAGCAGCAAAACTGGCTGGTAAAACCCAGTTGTTTGCAATGGTGGAGGTAAAGGTATGCCTTTTGTTAAGTAGAACATAAAATAATCAATAATAAAACCTCGGATATATCATGTTAATCTGTCACTTTTTATCCACTATGATCCCCATTATCTAACAGTTAAAAGTTCTGATTGCCAATCCATTAGGTAATCTATGTCGACACCGTCACTTAATTTCAGGGAGAGATATGTTTGTGCTCATAATTAAGGTCATAATAATGTCCTCAAATATTGATTTCATCATTGTGAGTTATTGACTGATGTAAATGAAAGTTCCCTTGCCTACACTATAATTTAACATACAACACATTAGCTTACTCACTTATTGGTCAATGCTGATTTTCATTTTGAAATATACTCTTAATCTATATCTCTTATAAATGTAGTGTTTATAATAATATTCGGTCACATACCGCTGCGTGTTTTTCTTCTAAATCATGTCTTATTAACCCTTTGATAATGGTATTTATTGTTATTAATTTAATTGGAAGGCACAATTTTTACAGTTTGTAATTATAACGGATTACGAATCCCACTGTAAGTAATTTTCTTTAGAGATAATCATGTATGACATAACTGTCCCCACCTCACGCAAAACACAGACGCTGGATTGGTGATTCATTGATTAATATCTTCGACTTTCACCTCTTTAGGTTCGAGTCCTAATCACTTTGAGTATTATTACTGGCCTTCAAACTTAGGACCTGACTTGAAGCAAAGTAAACTAATCTGTAATGAGTTAACAATAATATAAAGCTGTTAGTTTGTTTTCTGTTTGTCTTTTCACTTTTTTTCCTTAGCCTGACTTACATCTCTAGGTAACGTAATGTACAACACGTCCATGTACTCGGCTTTGAGTAATACTTTTTCATATATGAGGTCTGTTGATAAAAGCCAGCTTGCCTAACTGAGTGGTAATTTGAACCAGCGACATACTGGTGGAGATCGTAACCTACTAAGAGTTCTACTAATATCGAATTCCAACTTACCTGGCAAATGATTTGTTTACATTAGATCTCTTAGTCAAGTATTAATCTAGAAAAATTATTACCATATCTTTTGGAATGCTTATTTGATTACTGTAATCTTCTAGTCAGTTGGTATTATGTAATGCTCACTCTTTACAATATTCACGATTCGCATTTAATGTTACGAATACGCTAACATATTCATTTTGTTGTGGTAATTAACAGAATCATAAGTGGTGCTTGCTTTGTTATTATTTAAATTTCATAGTTGTCCACCATGTTTCTCCGATTGTTATTTTCATGCAAATCTTGAGTAAACTGGTTTTATGTAAATAATAATTTCCTTGATATTTTATCAGTCACCTAGTCAGTTGTTATTTTCTACAGTTTTATTCATATTAAACAATCAGCTCTGTGTTCACATTATTTGATTGACCATTTAGATTCTCTTAAATACGTTTTTTGAATTCACTATTGTTCCATCTCAATAAAAATTATATTGAATTTAATTTTCCTTTAATTTATTCCTCGATAATCTTTCGTCATCATTTCGTTGCTTGAATTTACAGCCCTTTTTTTCTCAATTTGACAATTAAAAGAAATCTGGGCCGAATATTTGGAAACTTTTTAGATTAAATAATTATGTTTTAAAAACGAAAACTAAATATACTGATAACATTAAACGGTAAAAGTACCATTGAATAAGAAAAAGAGAATTCAGCGTAGAAAATTTTCTTTTCGACGAAATCATTTACTTAAGCTGTACATTCGTATATATAGTTATATGGAAAATGTATGTCTATAGAAGGATAGAAAGGATTGTATCACAAAAATGGATTCGACAATAAATAACAAATGAGGTTAACGTACTAATCAAGGGGTAAGGAAGAACAAAATTTAAGGGTCAGATAATAGTCCAGTTGACAGATTGACAGATATGAAGAAAAACGACAAAACAACAAAGGTCATAATAATAAACTGAATGATAATCAAGAAAACTTGTAAAAGGTAATAATAATAAATGATTAGAGTTTAAAGTGCAAAATAGTAATTTAAAATATGGATAATAATAAAAGTGTATTTAAAAAAAACCCACCTAGCAACATACCCATTAAGGCCAAGGAAGGATAAGAGGTTGGACAAATCGTTTCTGCACGCAAAGTTCAGGCTTTAGTTTGTGGATTGCCAATGCCTCTGCGGTGCATAAAATATTGATTCGAACCCCCTTCGATCCAGTTCCTTTGACTCTGTAAACTATTTTAAACGAAGAGTCTTTTGGAGCGATATGTCCACAGTTGATTAAGTGCTCCTGAATAGAACTCGTGATTGTTTTTCACTCCCCTTTCAAAAGCCAAGCCGGATAATGTTCCGAGATGCGTTTGGATAATGATCGCTTTGTGCGGCCTATGTAACACGCCCCCCAAATAAACCATAATTATTGTTGTAATCCATCTTGTCTTTAATACTGCTCCATATGTAAAAATATGCCTGTTACTGTAGATTATTAAATAAATGAATATCAAATAGTTGGTTTTTTTTATCCATAAAGAGTTTTGATAGACTCAATGTAAGCATTCAATTCTTATTTTATCTTAGTTTTTTGGTTGTTTAGCTCTAGACTAACCTTTTTTTTATTTCCCAACATTAATAACAAATTCCAAATATGAGTCTTCTCTCTCTCTCTCTACTATATTCGACAGATATGTTTGCTGGATTTAAGATACCTGAGTATAGTTTTAGTCAGAAATAGACGATGACGACGTTGAGTTAATGATAATAACGATAGTTGTCTGTTTATTAACCTTTAGTGGATCATATGAATGGTGCAGTCGCCAGTCAATATCAGTACCAACCAGCTATGGTAAGTGGTGATCCAGCCTGTATGGATCCCACTTATTTCTGTAATCAAAATGTAATCAATGGACTGCCCATACCAAATGCTCAAGGTGTCCAACGCTATTACCAACCAAGTAGTAATGATGTTACCGGCTTAATGAATGGTCATCATCCTAATAGTAATAATAATCATATCAATAATATGCCCACAATGATTACTAGGATATCATTTGAACCTGAACACTGGCGTATAACTGGAGCTGATTGTACAGCAGGCTTAGGAATAGATGCTCGGGGCTTAGATGTTGCATCTACACGTGGAGCTGGATGGCAAGTAAGTACAAAACGTTATCAAGCATGTCTATGAATTTCATATTTTTCTTCTTGTTTCACACTCTCCCTTTCACATATTTTTTAATGAAGCTTCATGTTTATCTTGTGGTTCTTTAAAGTGGTAAATTGTGTTCACCAAATTTACAGAAGGCTCGATTAGCTTTTGCTAACTTGCGAGATATCCATTTGTCAACCAAAGGACGTGTTTACTGTGCAGCAGTTCGTTCCGTCCTACTTTATGGCAGTGGAACATGGCCGGTAAGAGTAGAGGATACTCGTAGGTTACTAGTATTTGATCATAGGTGTCTTCGAAACATCGCTCGTATATCCTGGGACCATCGAGTAAGTAATGTAGTTGTTAGGAAACGGGTACTAGGTAAGGATGGAAAATCGATTGATGAAGTAGTGAAACTTCATCAGTTGAGATGGCTGGGACACGTGTTACGTATGCCCAACTACCGTGCGATGTTCACTGGTATAGGAGTAGGTTGGAAGGAAGCTAGGGGCGACCAGACCAAAACATGGCACAAGTCCATGAAGTCACTGACAAGTGGACTGAGTCATGTTGGTAGGTGTAGACTACCTGGTTGGGGACCGCGAGATGATAGCGACCGAGGGTTAGAGACCCTGAATGACATGGCTCAAAATCGTTTGCAATGGCGCAGGTGCATACACTCCTGATTCCTTCTTGTCTCTTTTTTTTCTCTTTCCAAATTTATTTCACTGGATTATAAATAACATCTCCAAACCCTAATCTTTCCGATTACTGCTCATACTCTTACTACCTCTACCACTACGGGATTCGAATCGACAACAGCATCTCTGTGCTAATGTGGTATGACAACTCGAACTGGTGTACGTACGTACGAAGTTCTACGTTGTTACTGACTGACTGAAATTTAAATTATTGACTTACTACTTGTATAATTCACCTTTTGGCAATCCGGTGAATTTCGCTTGTTATTGGCTAACAGTGTTTTCCTATCGACATATACTATTCATGCTCAATTTCGACTTATTGTCTTGTTGTTTCAAGCGTTTCGGGTTGATTTCATTAGAAACTAGGAGATATGATTAGTTTGAACTATACTATTTGGGTAAACTATAACTTTCTTTATCAGTATACCTATAATCTTGACGAAATGTATGCTTATTCATTGATCCAAGACTTGGTCGATCATCACTATGGTAGAAAAAACTACACTTAATCGTCTTGCAATAAGTACCATTAATGTTGCGTCCGTTTATACCAACATACCAGTTATTTCCATAGCCTAGTTTCAGTATGTAATACTATTGATTAGCCCATAAGAGTTCTTCTGTCCCTAACCTGTCCGATCAGAAGACAAGAATAACAAATAAATTCACTTTGTACTATTATGCACGAATCACCAACCCACATGATCATATGCACCAAATAGAAGACAATACTGCACTATGACTAAGACAGTTCAGTCTTTATATAACTGGGTCATCTGGTGTACGAAACTAGCTGACCAGTACATAATGGATCGCAACTTTTGTGTATGTGATGTGACTCATAAACGGTTTATAAGTTTAATAAAATTCTACAGTTAGGGCAACGTAAGCAAATACAATGCAGAATGGTTTTCAAAGTCCCACTTATCTCAGTTTATTCTAACACTACTAAATTCACATAACGATTGAGACACTTAACAGATAATAGCAATCAGATAAAGTCATCATAATATATGGATTTGTATTGACTTTTTCCTACATTACATATTGGAAAGTTTTAATCTCAGTTCATGAATGGTACTTGAAATACTCGTAGTTAATTGCGCGTCATTTACTAACTAACTCTACTATAATAGTATTCCTGTAGACTAATATGATTGAGGTCAGTCAATAATATCAAAATTTTAATGTATGGTTCACCCTAGTGTTTCCTTCTCTCGTTTTTTTGGAACCATGTGCGTTCAAGCTTATGTGTCCCGGGCCATATTTCTACGTGTTTTATGTGTTTTAATGATCTTATCCTTGTACATTTTGTCTTTTATTTCCTCTAAGTGATAGCTGAGTCATCACTCTGCTCATTTATTAATTAAGTGGTGTTTTTTGTACACTAAAATTAATTATAGCATACTGTGCAAATTGTTACAATACGCCTAAATTGAATTCCACGAGAAAAAAATGCATATACCATAATTATCAATAATAATTCTGTGTTTTCATAGGCGACGATCGTTGTGAAAAAATTTTGATTTCAGTAATAATATATTCTATCATCAGGTGAAGTATATTGCTTTGTTTAGAATTGTTAGTAAGCTACTTGTATATGTACTAATCCCTATTGTATATTCTTCTCATTTTTGACACTTATCATCTCTTTCATAAAAAATCGCCTTGTCAATGGATTGTCTACACACTGTCTAATCTCATGCTATATTTCTGTCTTTTTTCTTTCATTCAGGGTTGTAGAGCTAATAAAGGTGTAAAAGCTCCAGGTGCATATTACTATGAAGCGGCTTGTTTAGAGGAAGGACTTATACGTGTCGGTTGGTCAACTAATGATGCCAATTTAGAACTTGGTGCAGATAATTATGGTTTTGGTTATGGATCCGATGCTGTAGGCTCTGCTGGTATGAATGGCACTGGACGTGTAATGCATCGGAATACTGGTCATGATTACGGAATAATGGTTCATCAGGGTGATGTAATTGGTTGCCTGTTAGATTTAGACAAAGGATCAATTTCTTGGTCATGTAATGGAAAAATATTTCAACGTGCATTCACTATACCTGACCAATTAAGAGGAGAAGCTTTCTTACCAGGTAAATAAAACCATTAGGTTACTAGTTCGAATATTATATTTCATGTTCCAGCAATGCTGTTCATTTATTATTATCTAGATCATTGAATGTACATGTTCATGAAAGATATTGTATACATGCGATTATGATATGATAAATTTGATTTCACCCTCCTCTTTCATTAAACTCTTTAGTGTGACGTCATTCCGAACTTTTAATTCTCCAATCTCATTTGTTCCTTTCAATAAGTCTCGTTCTTTTCTTTTTACTATTCTCTCTCAAATATTTCTGCACTATATATTAAATCTAGTAGTCTTTTTATCGAAAGATTAAAATGGGTTATTTGTTCTTTTTTAGTTATTACGTTATACCATATAGGAAAATTAAAAGTAATGAAACGATGTATATTCTTCCCTTTGGATGAAATCAGCGGTTTTTCTCCATGTTGTTTATGAATTCGGCTTTACTGGGGTGTTGGTATTTTGTAAAAGGTGTACAAAAACCACCACGTACCTTGACACATGGTAATTACTGACCAAAATTAGTATGCTAAAAGAAAGCTAGTTATTGGTATATCATAAAATAAATTTGGTCTATAAATTCATTAACTTTTGTTGGACCGACCCATGTTGGCAAATAAGCGCTACCTCTACTTTTGTGTAAACGAGTTAGTTACATTAAAAAAAACACATATTAAGTACGTTTAAAAAGTCAGGTTTATGTAAAGAAAATAGTGTATATCACATTTTCCGATAGTAATTTGATTCTTTTCACAGGAAATATTTGTAGGTAGATTGCTTTTTCATTTCATTTTACTACTTTTGATGGTCAATCGTTTTCGATGAAAAAAAAGGCATATTAATGAATCATTGTGTTCCACAAAGTTGCCTACAACTGTTCTCTTCCTCTTTCCTCCACCAACCACACCGCCAAGTTCTTCACTTGATTTATTGCTGATAAGGAGAATGTGTGATACTTTTTGTTTTTAAATGTTAACTATAATGCTTTCATTTTTTACATGAACACTTTTTCGCTTATATTCTTAGGAGAGAAGTAAAAGTAGATAATTTCTGACACAATCTGAACTGAAAGTTTGTTTGCCTGTTTATCTCGACAATACTATCCATCTGAGAGAAATAAAATATTTGGATTAGTTCAGCTTACATAAGATATTATAAAGTAAAAGAACTCTTATATTATGCATATGAACATTGGTTATCGCTGAGTAGTCTAAAGTTTCATGTTCATCTAGTCTCCTTTGTTCTGACTGAATTCTGTCGATCCGTTGCACATTCCCAAAATCACTTCTCCGTACGTAATCTTTTTTACTACCACTGTTACTACTTCTACTATAGGATTTGTCTTAAAGTGATTTCATCTCACCGTGCTAATGTGTTGTGCCAACTTGAAACGGTGCTCATATCTCAGGTTCTACTTTGCGTATAAATGATTGACTGAAATATTTAATTTATTGTCGTAACTTGTGACCGCCGAATAGAGGGCAGTGGATTATCGATCAGACCAAGGACGCGTAAAACACGTGCGAGCAGCCTAGAGTCCTGATTAGTCCTGCTTTACGCCTAGCCCAGCCAGTTAAGTCCAGAACACCAGTCTCAGCCTCTGCAGTATGAATCATTATATTTCAAACATACTGATTTTATATACCAATCAAACAGACCACAACGTACCAATAAAATATGAAATAACATTTATACAAGAATTAGCCAGATGTGGCTGTGAATGATGGCGATAGTAATTAATATACTGGGTATAACTCAAGAATGGTAAAACGTATAATAATAGTTTATGGGTCAAAACAAAGCTTATAATAAGAGGAGTATGAATATGCATAGTTTAGTTACTTAATAATTATACAATAGAAATATACGTTTAGTATTGATCTATCAATAGATCTCAGAAGTTACCATTCATTATTCTTGTCGGGACATAACATTTATATTTCAATCTTTAAAGTATTTCACATCTCTCATGTGATCGTGTTTCTTTTACTACTTTAGCGGCTAGTCTAAAAGATTCACGTATCCTATTTAATTTCGGTGAAGAACAACCGTTAGAATTCCCACCAGATGGTTCATTTATTCCTGTAGCTCAATCTGCTGATGATAGTCAAGTATCTAATCGAAATCCTGGTTGGCGCATGAATCAGTACGATGCAACGAATGCTTTAGATGTTGCACCCGACGGTAGTCAAGTTCAGTCACATTTTAATCAAGGTTGGCAAGGTTGTCGATCAAATCATGTAAGTGCTCTTCGTTTGCTTGCGTATATTGCTTTGGCTTTAATAGAATACTTTGACGTAAAGGTTTTGTAAAAGTATATTTTGAATGTGCAATCTTTTATATTATCACTTATATTGTTACTACCTCTACTACTCTGAGATCTACCCTGCACCATTTCATCTCGTTGTACTGATGGTGTGTGGCAATCTAAATTGATATATACAGATGCCTGGTTCTACGTTGTGACGGTCCAACAGAAGATAGATTTAATGCATTTTTGAAGCTTAAATCAATAGTCGTGATAGGCTAAACAGCCGTCAGAATTTACATTGTACGATCACCAAGCCGCTTTATCCTTAATTGACGTGTACTTGTATTTGAAGATATAAGGGAAAGAGTGAAAAACATGAGAAAAAAGGTGATCCGATCTCTCAATCAGCACATAAAATCCACTCATTTTTATTAATGAAACCAGTCGATAACAATTGTCAATAACAAGGGCTTAAGATTAAGGCAGTTTGACCACCAAAACTGACGATTTTGAGAGTGAGAATTTGAATCTATTGCAGTGTAAACACCATTCATTTTGTTTAATTTAGAGAAAAATACATAGAATAATTAGTTCCCTGATGCATCAGGAAACTCATATCTGTATGTTTTAAGGTTAACTGTATTGCGTTTATTATCGTTCACATTCTGTTTCATTACAATACATTTTTATACCAAATAATAGAAATGGTGGAATTTCACCATCGTTACTTTTAAACTTTTCGACTCAGCTATTTTTGAGTGATATAATCATTTATAGGTTTGTAGAAAATAGACGAAATAACGTTCGTACGCAAGCACAAATACACACGTTTAATAGTCTACATTCTCGTTACTTTTAATATACATACTTAGTGATTGTTTTTTGTCTCGTTTTTTGCTTTCCCGCCTATCTACTAATGTTGTTATTGTGCATTTTTAAAACAATAAAAAGCTGACGCTTGCTGATATTGGTAATTGTACTAGTATATACTTCTAAATTTGTAACGATTATTTTGAATATTTTATTGGAAAATTAATCGTTTATATGTGTTAAATTCAGACAGAAAGAGACGGTGATAGGTGAAAACGATATCCAAATCGAAGGTTTCTGGTTCGTTTTTGTTTGTCCCTCTTTTGCCTAACAATATGTATATCGTAAAAAGTTTAAATAATTGATTCATTGTCTGATAGAATACAACTTATGATACATAGTAGCTGTTTTATAGTAACAACAGGTTATTCCCTATGATAAGTAAAACATTTTAAGGAGAAAGATAGACACATTGTTAATCATCACTTGATAATTTACATTAGTGTAACGTATATGTAGAGAGATACCTGTGTATGTATGTGTGTGTTGTTTATTTTAGTTTTCGCTTCCCCATGTTGCACTAAGTGGCCAGTTTACACATTACTTTATGATCACGAATATTCCATTTATATAATATCACTATTATTATACTAAAAAATGTGTAAGGTAGAACAAGTTTGTTACGATAGTTTTTACATTAGTTTATCAGTGAATCTACATTAAACGTTATTTTCGTGTACCAATATAGTAGTATATACTGTGTTAGCTGAATAGAAAGTGAATTTCAATTAGGAAACCAATAAAATATATTCATAAAAGTCATCAATAATCTGAGACAGTGACCATACATTAAAACAAAAGTTTATTGTAGTATTACTTGTTTACTTTTTAAAATCACCATCCAGCTGCATGAACAATGCTCGTGCGTGTAGTAGAGGGGAGTAAGTTGGAATAAAGTTGAAAGTGGCCAAATAATGACATCAGTTTATGAAGACACTAACCGTTAGACTGAATTCGACAGGTAGGTAAAGGTTACCTGTCTAGGATTTAAGTGTTAATCATGACCAAGTGTTGCAGACTTAGTGATACAACCCAGTTTAAATCACAATAGAACAGATCTATTCACTTTTTATCTTCCTTTAGATCTTTAAATTTAAAACGATCTACTTGCACCATTTATTTCCCGAATTCATACTTCTCGAATCATATTGTTCATATTTGTCGTTGCTACTTCTCCTGATCTTTGGCATCTACCTCTCTGTGTATTGTAGTTGTGTGTCAGTTTGAATTGTATGCGCATATGTACTAAGTTCTACGTTGTTTGTAACTGATTCTGAATGAAATGACAACAGTTGTCATTCTTTTTTAACAAACTATCTGCTTTTCTCATATGACAAAATAAGGCAGTGGAAAGCTTTCATAAATCAATCATATTGAATTAGGTCAACTAATTGTCATGTTAAATTGAGTTCATTCTATCTGTTACTTAATAATTTTCTCTTCAATAAATTGTATCTCATTTGAGGCGTACATTGTGATAGAATCTCATTTAGTTACCATATGTATTTGTGTATGTGTTGTTAATTTGTTTCATCCACAGTCTTGGATTATTACTTCTAGAATAATAAAGGTCAGTTGATATATTTGTAATACAAACGTGAAATTAATCGTAATGATCATTATCATGCTCACTTAATTTAAATAAAAGTTTATCATTGATTCCATATTCCTCTGATTTATGTGTTACTATTTCATAATTATTATGTTTCCATTTTTTTTCACCCCCCTAGGGTATTCGTGGTCTTGGACGCTTCTACTTTGAAGTAACTCCTATTGAATCTACTGGACTATGGCGAGTTGGTTGGTCAACAGATGATGGGAATTTAATTGTTGGCACAGATCAATATGGTTTCGGTTATGGTGCAGATAACGAAGGTTTCGGTTTGAATGGACAACAAGGAAAACGTATACATTGTGATGAAATTGAAAATTATGGTGAAGTATGTTACATTTTGTTTTTTTATGACATATATTATTTTTAGTATATATGAGAATTTTTTAAACTGACAGACTTCTATAGTTTGAATCACGAATTGATTTTGGCTAGATTATCATTAAAAATCAGTAGACAACAGTTTCGTCGTAGAATGGAACTCATCAGAAGTCGACAACCACGACCTCGCTACCGGGAATCAAATCTAGGTCTTTCGATTTCGCGCATTTAAATCTAACTTCTAAACCAATAAATCGATAGATAATGGTGTGCAAGTCTATGTTCAATTAATTTACAATATTGCACAACTGTTTCCTACACTGGAACAAAACATTTGTCCAATGCGTCTTGGTTTTCAACACTTATCAACCGAAGATCAGTTTGTTATTCAAACTATGAAAAATAACTGTTTGTCTTTTCTTGATAATATATTTGCCCAATATAATCAGAACTCCAAATATTACAACTTGGATGTAAACAGAGTTCAGATAATGTATCAGATTTTATTTCATTATTGTTCCCCAGTTCAGTATCAAGAATGAATTTTTGACTGTTTGTTTTATTTTTCTGTCTACATAATTCCCATATTAAAAATGAACTTCATTCATCTGCGTGTCATCAATGAGCAACCATCCGCGTAATTTTCAAATATCTCACAAATTTTCGCAATAATACTTTATAATTTGCTAAGCACTTCATACTGATTATTAGAAAATGATGTACTTAATAGTTATCATTCATATATCTCCCTGTAACCACTACAGTTCTTATTACTCTATAGTTGTAATCATGCTTCACTAACACCAAACGGAATTCCAATCTCTTTGATGTTATCGTATAACTTCACAATTTCCTGAATAAATACCTTCAGGGATGATGTATATCAAGCCAGCAATGTTCTGAATTTCAGCTTATGATTCTCCGTACTTACGAGTTTCTTGAGTAACCAATTTTCGTCTGTACATTGTAGTCTACTACACCCGAGTCTATTACATTCCAAAACAACTTCATGAAAAAAATTTATCCCCCCCTCTTTCCTTGTATTTAAAGTGACTGCGAGAACGATTGGTCCAGTTTTTTCTATTCACTGTTTATATTACTCATAAATCTCCTTTGTTTCTCCTTTAATTGAATGTCAACTTCAAAATTATTAATGTTTGCAAATGTTAGGTATTTTATGGCAACACATTGGAGTCAATGTACATATTATTATTATTATCATTATTATTATTATTATTATTATTATTATTATTTTACTGTCGATTTTATTGACTCGTTTTTTCTCTGAATCCCTTTCATTATTGTCCATATTATGACTGTTACTTCTCAAAATCAACTCTGTCGTTTTGTTTTAGCAATTTTCTTTGTATGTTTATTTTGTAAAAAAAGGTTTACAATTATGTAGAAATGTATATTTAGATAATGTCTGTACATATTTTTGAATATTATTTATTTATGTATGGAATAGTGACAAAAAATGTATGTATTTACGTTTGCTTGTTTGTTTCTAAAGGACTATTATTAGTAAACATCCGCACGTATACACACACGCACACACACTCAGGCACTTCAACTTAAATAATAATAATAATAATAATAATAATAATAATAATAATAATAATAATAATGCATGATCCATAATACTAATGATTTCTAATTAATTCGCTATTGAATTTATTTACACTATGGCCTGATAAGGTCTGTGTTAGTGGATTTTTTTAAAATTAATTGTTTACTTTGAATTGTTTGTATTAGTTTTCATAGATTTTTATAGTTTTGTATTTTGAATCCTGCGAATATGAGTTAGAATAACATTCTGTGTATTGAACTCTAGGAAATTTTTACGGCATTTTACTCAATGCTGTAATAGTTTAAAATAAGTCATTTACATAGTAGAATTATTCATTTAAATGGTTTGTAGAATCGTTAAGTTTTAATGTGTTGGGTCACTGGTGACTACTTTCGAGTAGTAATCCCTGGAGTCATAGTGCGAAGCAGTAACCAGTAGTTCAGTTCAACAATATCGGACGAGTCAGTTATTGATTAATGACAATGGAATATAGTTGCGCGATTCCGTGGATTCATTTAACTTAAAGACATAAACTATCGAATACCGACTCAATGGTTTGGAGGCTAAGCACTCTATGTGAAACCTACAGGTCATTGGTTCGACTCCCAATTGGGTCGTGGAAACTGCTGAAGAGTCCCTCACTACGATGAAACAGCTAGTCAGGGATTTCCTGTTTTCAAATGTTATTTATGATTAGTCCCGAGTGCGAAATATGTTACACGATGGTCTCTTTAATAGCCGGGCAGTCATATCTATCTTCTGAGGTTTAAATTTTGTAATTACGTTCCTCAAACTTCAACCTGGGCACCCAGATAGTGTTAAAAAGGTTCGTTTGGTTTCTACCAATCTGTAGCACCATCGACATGTCCTTCCTCTAATCAAGAGATATATTAGTCAAAAATGTTAAATTTAAGCACCCAGGTATTGCATAAAGTTGGTAAATTGATTAGAAAAACTGCAAACCATTGTTGACCAATGTGCTGTAGCACAAAATCAACCACTCTACAATGGTGACACTGTCACAAGAGTTGGCTAATTTGTTAGGAAGTGATCAAACAAAACGTGGCATCATTTCATGAAGTCATCGTCTATTGGTTTTAGCTAATACCGGGCTACAGGTCTCGTATTTTGATTTGATTCAACGAACCTAATCACTGGTCAACTAACTACATTCTATTATCTTTCTCTTCCTCTGTCTTTCCTTTTTAATGTTTAGGCATTCTCTAAAGATGATGTGATCGGCTGCTTTTTGGATACGATTGAACACACTATTAAATGGTCAAAAAATGGTTTAGAATTTGGTGACGCTTATCGAATTCCATCTGAATTGTTACATTCTAAAAATTTGACAGCATTGTATCCGACTGTGTCCTTGTTGAATTCTACCCTGGAATTGAACTTTGGCGACAAACCATTTAAATATTATCCTGGGGTATGCCTTTGTTGTCAGTATTTAAGTTTTGTCTGATCAAGACCTCACAAGTTCTTTTGAAGACAAACTCTACCTTTATTGTCATCACAGTCTAATCGAATTGAATAGAATACTTAACCCTCATACTTGGAGTGTTTTTCATACCCAAATATCAAAGTAGTAGACTAACATGACATTGATTATTATTTATGAACAATCAATTCTAGATATCTTCATTCTCCAGGATGCCTGTTGGCTATCGAATAAGTTGACAGAAAAAACCTCCATATATAATTGTTTTGCGTAGAGGTGAATGAACTTCTTATTTCGTCAGTCATTCAATCTAGCCGAATAATTGAAATTTAAACACGATAAAATAAACTAGTTTTCGGGTAATGAAATAAAAATCCCACTAGAATTAATAATATATTGCATAAATAGCCAACAATCCGATTCAGGATGCTGTTTTTATTCGTTTTGTGGTTCTGCAGTTGAACGTACCTACTTCTCAGCCTTGAAACTCACTGCGATACTCGGATTCAGTACTTATTTCTTTGAATACTTGATCATTATTCACCAAACTAACTATTAATCTATGATATCCATCAGCCTGTTCGATAGTTATAGTATTTGTAAAAGTTTTGTAGTTTCGTGTTCCTACTGTTTTTACTGCTAACTACCCATATCCAGAATTCAATCAACAGGCAATATTAAAACATTCATTCAGAGAGCCCATATGTGGATACACATCTTACTTGGTAAAATACAATCAGACTTTAATCATTAACAACGAAAAAGCGCATTCGCTTTACAAATGATAATGCTAACAACAACCAGTTTCACGTGATCACTAAATTCTCTGGAATGAATCACTTGATTTGAAGTACTTTTTCGATAAATTGATTTCAGACTTCTCATTAGTTCTCTTATTTGTGAGACTTTTTTTATTGATTGTGTTGACAAATAGGAGGAAGTGTATTAATATGTTTTAGTGACTATCATTATTATCACTTTACTGAATTTGTTTTCCTGATTGATTAATCATTGTCCAATCTATTTTCTAAAAAAATTATATATTTTTAAAGTTCAAAAAATTCTATTTATGTACGTAGTCAGTCAGTCAATCATTATCATCTTAAAGACTGGTACATATGTGTGTTGACCCCAGTTGTTATAATACAACTTTCGAAACATATATACACACGACTTGCTCTCATTATTAACAAACTACAATATTATTGATGAATAGTCTTCTTAAAAAAAGCGGAAAAGAAGCAGAGGTCTTTCTTCATCAGTAGAAATGAACATTTTTTGTAGTGGGTTTTTATATACCTGATCGGTTTTCTTCATGGGTGTTGATTCTTTTTTTTCATTGGTTTATTGCCTTAATTTACTTTTCTTCCTTCCGGTCATTGGCGAAAAATGTACAGAATGCGTGCATTCAAACGCCGAGCAACATACTTTTTAACTATTAGATAGTCGGAGGTAGTACAAAGGAAATTTTAAACATAAGTTTCGTCCCACTTGAAACTCGTCAGACACGTGTGCCTGTAGTATTGTGTGGGGCTATTACCTCGTGGCGTATCACTCAGCTTCACAAACTGGACTGAGATATTTATAACTGGTTGTTTACCGTTTTTCTACTCCTTTTAGTCCTAGTCGAGTTTTGTCGATCAAGTTGCATTGTAGCTACTAGTCTATCTAACCTGACATCACGCGCAACATGCTGTTATGTCCTACAGAAGGTCAGTCGCAATCTAAATAGCTTAGTGGTAACTAATCAGACTGTAAAACGGGGTGATAAGTGGTAAGACCAGCCAAAAACAGTTCCCGCAATGCTACATTAAGTTCCACATAACATGAAACAGGTCTAAAATTTCCTGCAAACTACCTTTAACCACCCAACATTTCAACACGATACACGCAATGTCAAGTTACTTAGATTGTGGTGACCACTTCTCAACTTGACTGATGAAGTGTGAGCAGACAAACAACATTGTTCACGACTGAATGATCGATTAACTGTGTATTCTAGATCGTTTACATCTAAAATATAGATGAAGCTAATAAATTCTCATTGCAAACTATTTGTGTATTATTGTATAATATGCAAGTTGTGTTTATTTTCTTCCTACGCCCCCTAATGGATTATCTGTACACATTTTATTGCACAGCGACCAACGAAGCATCGTATTCTCTATCATTCCAGTAGTCTCACCTGTTTTTTTCTTTTAAACTGTTTAGCCTGACTGGACACCTGTATGCTGTGCTCCTCCTGAATGTACTAAACGTTCTAGACGTAAAGGTCCTGAAGTAAGTCAGATATATATCTTGACAACTCAGTATGTGTATATCCACTATAAACACCGTGAGATGAAATGATATTAGAACTGATATGTATAACAAATAAATTGTTTGACAAAATCTTAAGTAATTTATGTCTTTAATAGTTGTTCAATCGAATGTTTTGTATTTTGTAGAAATCCAAAATTTTTTCGGTATTTAATGGGCTATTTTTTTTTACTTATATGGCGTTATTCATTGAACAACTTGGCAGACATAATGAATTATTCATTTTTCATGATTGTTATCTTTATCATTCGTTGACAAAGTATATTACTATCTAGTCGCCACATTTTCGAAAGAAAATTAAACAAACTCGACTATCTAACAATGGAAAATGGTAACCAGTAGGACTAGCTAAAAGTTTTGCGTCCGATTGATTTAAAGTCATACCATGGTCTACCATTAATTGTATGTTTACGTGTATCAATTTTGCGTACATAAATTGTTCTTTTCACCGAATATTTGTTACGGCGATAATCATCATCATCATGAAGTTTCTGAGGCATAAATTGATGCGTGTAGAAATGCATCTTCATGGACAACAGCACTTTTAATATATTGGTTTATTGACGGTATATACAAAGTAATATACATAAATCTTGTAAGTAATATAGTTATGTCTGATAAACAATGTATGAAAAGCAATAAATACTTTAATAAAATGACATATCCATAGTGTTATGTGGTGTTATAGTCACGAAATATTTATGTATCAATGTTTTCGTCATGTGAGAATTACAAGGTTATGGTTTGCAGTGCGTAAGTCAAACTTAGTCTCATGTTACAAGACGACACACATAGGAGCATCTAAAACATGGAAGAAGGAATATAGGAAAATAATTACCTAATATGTGTGATATAAGATTGTGGTAGCGAATTTGTTTCACGGTTTCATATCCTCAACGAGAAAGTATGTGTATGAGTAGATTTAAAACCACAAATCATGTTTACTAGTGATATTCAGTTACGATATCTCGGCTATTTCACAAACTGAATTGCATTACTTAAATATAGAAGATAATCTACTTAGTATCTTGAAGAAAATGGTTATATTTAGCTTAAAATACCGTTTACATAAAACATCAACTCTTAGCTTAATACATCTAAATTTGTAGTGTATGAGGTTAAGCTTAATGTCTGTTTATAATTATTATTTCTAATAACAAACTCAACAATTTCTACAACCTTTCAATCAAGAGAAAAATTCCAGAGTTCTAGTGAGAAACTGTGACCAGCGGGGCAAAACTGTCAAGTGTGTAGAAGGTGCTCAGCGGGCACAATGAAAGATAGTCGCACAATATCGTAGATTGATCGAAGTTACATTTGTGCATCGTTGGATACCGGCTCAGTGATCTGAAGTTTAAGCGTTCATGTACAAGATCGAAGGTTCTGGGTTCGACTTCTGCGTGCGGAATCGTGGATGCACACTGCTGAGGTGTCCTATGCTAGGATGAAACAGCCGTCCAGTTCTTCCAGGTTTTCACTGTTGGTCTAGCTAAGATGTTTTCAGTGAAATAATAATTCACTTTACCAGCAATAATATACCAACATACGATCACAGACTAGGCAATAGACAACACCATACATTATATATAATGTCTCCCCCGTAGACATTCTCAGTTGATTTCTCTGTGCTAATGGGACATAGCGACTTAAGCCGATGTACACATATGTTATGTGCTGCGTTACGACTAACTGACTTACTTGAATCGAATTGTAGTTGTATCTATTACTTTTCGAGCTTGGGTCTTTTTTGTTGTTTTCTATTGAGTAATAGAAACCTGGACAGTATGACCTTCATTCATCTGATTTTTATTGTGTAACCTTATTGTTACTTGATTGATTAATGCGTTTCTCCGTTTCTGTTTCAAATATTTGATTGAACTTTTATTCGCTTTATCAATCTATTTGATTTTTTATTCAAAACATATGTGTATATACAGCGGAAAGTGAAGGGGTGGTCATATATTGATCCGACTATTTTAGAACCATCAATTCGACAAACAATGCAGGTTAGTTGCATTAATTCATTTTGCTTACTGGTATCGCCGTTATTGTTGGCGACCGTTGCTGAGTAATGGTGTTTATAATTGTTTATTATTATTATTATTATTATTATTATTATTGCTAGACTTCAGTTTAAATGGGTCATCTCTGTTTACACAAGCGCATTTTGTTTTAACCTACCACCTACTTACGTGGATTGAAAAACAGTGAGAATTGTGCATATAATTAAAGATGTTTACTAATTTTCACTCAATGTGTCCTTTCTCACTGTTGTTGTAACCAGTTCTCCCACCTTTTCTTCTTTTCACTGGTACTTTATTTTGTTTGCATTTGTGCATCTGTTTCTATGTTTGACCTGTGACCTTTGTGAAGATATGCACGATTGAAATGTCGTCTGTTATATCTTCAAATAAACAATTTGACGGGGGAAAAACAACAACACTAATCTGAAATGTACACACACATTGTCAATCTATTGAAGATGTGTTCTTTTAGAATATATCCATAAACGATTGTTTACTTTTCTATTTTAATCTGAAATGTTTGGAACTAGTTTAGTAAAGAGATTATGTATTCATTGTGTTATTTATTCTTTGAATATAGATGTTACTCGTTTGTTTGTTTTGTCTTAAATGCACAACTATTTGTTTAATTCCAATTTAGTCGTGAAAGCAGTCTCGCCATAGATTCGACATCAAATAATTAAGTGATTAACGAATAACAGGAATAGTCATCATTGTTTGATCTCGATTGGGTTACCATTGAGAACTGGGAAACTCTGGTGGACAGCTGTTCCGTCCTAGTATGGGACTGACTAGCTGTGGGCATCTGCAACCTCGTCAAGGATCAGACCCGAGTCTTCAGCTCTTGCAGTGAATTCTTAATGAGTTGAATCGGAGTCTTTTGGTGACATTTGTTTTTACTCCGGATGTATCTAAACTCAACTACTGGTTATAACTTTCCACCAAAAATTCGGGAACACCTGGAAGTCACTTGTGAGACGATCCCCCGATGAAGATCAGGTTATAACAAATATAACCTACGAATTAAACTAATCTCCTTAAAACCACTTTCAGAATAAATAGAAGAGCTATTGTATGGTTTTCTTATTCTTCTATAGTATTCATTATTAACATTGCATATATCTACCCTCAATCATACACATGATATTGAATTCAACAGACTTTCAGTGTTGTTTAGTACACAGCACATTTTGTTAGATTTAACTACTGATCCAATATCTGACAGTACAAAACGGAAAATGAAACACTGTTATACAGGTTTGTCTCATATCCATGGTCCAAAGAACACTACTGTCTATCAGAAATGTTAACTAAACAAAATTTTAAGAATTCTGATGTGTACACATTTTGTTTAAAGGGTCAGTATAGTTTTCTAACATTTATGTCTTCATGTATTTTGCACAAAATGACTAGCTAGAAAAGGAAAGTTATATTTCAGTTACTTCGATGATAATTTTTGCTGTGTTATACTCTTTAACTGGTTGTATTGTTCATAGTTATGAAACATTCTCATTGTTGTTCTAGTTGATATAATTACTATCATCTCGCCTTAATTTGAGTGAGCTTTTAAAAACGATTTGTTTCACAAGCACAAAATCTACGCGTTATGATGTTTACGTTTGTGACTAGTTATCACTGCCAGTTTACTAATCTTCATTTGTTCTTGTTTGCTTTCCATTTAAGAACTGCGGAGAAGGACATTTAATTGTTGTTTCCACCCTATATAGTCGGGACTCATCAATAGAGTGGACTCCAAATACGCCGCTAAGGATCAAACCCCTTGAAGGCTTGTTACTAACATATTATTCCACTCACCCTATTGATATCCTATGGCTTACATTCACAATTTTTAGCAGTTCGTAATATTGCGGATGAACATTGGACAACTATTTAGCGATTCGTGGTCTTTAATAATTACCTATCTTTTAATATAAAATCTAGGCACCAAAAATATACTCATCCCGCAAACAGAACGATAGTATTGTGAAGAAATAAAAGAGCCTAGGGTTGTATAAACAGAAAAACACAAATGAACATGAATGAATGGTGCCAAATAGAAGATACAGTTCAGAAAAAACAGCTATTAAAAACTTCTTTCAGTTGATGAAACTCATCTCATTTTTATAAATAACGCAAAAGAAAACTGTTGTAGGATCGTCACTAGTTTAAATTCTAAATCTTGTCTGATAATGTCGCCAGCCCTTGAGTTGCACCATCTATAGGATACCATCCAGTGTAGTTGTCATGATCTGGCAAATGCCAGTTCTACGCAGTCTTACATACCACGAATCCGTTTCATAAACCGTTCCCCTCTCCATTTTTCTCAACCAATTTAACAATCACATTCCCATCCATTATTGATTTACAAAGTGCGTTTATTTCACTTCAATGCATACCTTTGAAATTTCTCCCATTATAACTAGTTTCTAAATTCAACTACGTACCGGCCATATCTTATTGTTGTGTCAATTTGAATGAGATTTCAGACAAGGTAAACACACTTTTTATATCACATGATATGTAAATAAATACTCTTGTTTTACACATACTAGACAACTTTTAACTTATATATAAGCCACATTGATTTTAATCGTAGTTAGTGTTTTACACAACAGAACATGCTCCTATTTTATTAATTTTGAATATTTTACCTTGTGTTTTAACTCTAGTAGTAGTAGTAGTAGTAGTAGTAGTAGTAGTAGTAGTAGTAGTAGTAGTAGTAGTAGTAGTAGTAGTAGTAGTAGTAGTAGTAGTAGTAGTAGTAGTAGTAGTAGTAGTAGTAGTAGTAGTAGTAGTAGTAGTAGTAGTAGTAGTAGTAGTAGTAGTAGTAGTAGTAGTAGTAGTAGTAGTAGTAGTAGTAGTAGTAGTAGTAGTAGTAGTAGTAGTAGTAGTAGTAGTAGTAGTAGTAGTAGTAGTAGTAGTAGTAGTAGTAGTAGTAGTAGTAGTAGTAGTAGTAGTAGTAGTAGTAGTAGTAGTAGTAGTAGTAGTAGTAGTAGTAGTAGTAGTAGTAGTAGTAGTAGTAGTAGTAGTAGTAGTAGTAGTAGTAGTAGTAGTAGTAGTAGTAGTAGTAGTAGTAGTAGTAGTAGTAGTAGTAGTAGTAGTAGTAGTAGTAGTAGTAGTAGTAGTAGTAGTAGTAGTAGTAGTAGTAGTAGTAGTAGTAGTAGTAGTAGTAGTAGTAGTAGTAGTAGTAGTAGTAGTAGTAGTAGTAGTAGTAGTAGTAGTAGTAGTAGTAGTAGTAGTAGTAGTAGTAGTAGTAGTAGTAGTAGTAGTAGTAGTAGTAGTAGTAGTAGTAGTAGTAGTAGTAGTAGTAGTAGTAGTAGTAGTAGTAGTAGTAGTAGTAGTAGTAGTAGTAGTAGTAGTAGTAGTAGTAGTAGTAGTAGTAGTAGTAGTAGTAGTAGTAGTAGTAGTAGTAGTAGTAGTAGTAGTAGTAGTAGTAGTAGTAGTAGTAGTAGTAGTAGTAGTAGTAGTAGTAGTAGTAGTAGTAGTAGTAGTAGTAGTAGTAGTAGTAGTAGTAGTAGTAGTAGTAGTAGTAGTAGTAGTAGTAGTAGTAGTAGTAGTAGTAGTAGTAGTAGTAGTAGTAGTAGTAGTAGTAGTAGTAGTAGTAGTAGTAGTAGTAGTAGTAGTAGTAGTAGTAGTAGTAGTAGTAGTAGTAGTAGTAGTAGTAGTAGTAGTAGTAGTAGTAGTAGTAGTAGTAGTAGTAGTAGTAGTAGTAGTAGTAGTAGTAGTAGTAGTAGTAGTAGTAGTAGTAGTAGTAGTAGTAGTAGTAGTAGTAGTAGTAGTAGTAGTAGTAGTAGTAGTAGTAGTAGTAGTAGTAGTAGTAGTAGTAGTAGTAGTAGTAGTAGTAGTAGTAGTAGTAGTAGTAGTAGTAGTAGTAGTAGTAGTAGTAGTAGTAGTAGTAGTAGTAGTAGTAGTAGTAGTAGTAGTAGTAGTAGTAGTAGTAGTAGTAGTAGTAGTAGTAGTAGTAGTAGTAGTAGTAGTAGTAGTAGTAGTAGTAGTAGTAGTAGTAGTAGTAGTAGTAGTAGTAGTAGTAGTAGTAGTAGTAGTAGTAGTAGTAGTAGTAGTAGTAGTAGTAGTAGTAGTAGTAGTAGTAGTAGTAGTAGTAGTAGTAGTAGTAGTAGTAGTAGTAGTAGTAGTAGTAGTAGTAGTAGTAGTAGTAGTAGTAGTAGTAGTAGTAGTAGTAGTAGTAGTAGTAGTAGTAGTAGTAGTAGTAGTAGTAGTAGTAGTAGTAGTAGTAGTAGTAGTAGTAGTAGTAGTAGTAGTAGTAGTAGTAGTAGTAGTAGTAGTAGTAGTAGTAGTAGTAGTAGTAGTAGTAGTAGTAGTAGTAGTAGTAGTAGTAGTAGTAGTAGTAGTAGTAGTAGTAGTAGTAGTAGTAGTAGTAGTAGTAGTAGTAGTAGTAGTAGTAGTAGTAGTAGTAGTAGTAGTAGTAGTAGTAGTAGTAGTAGTAGTAGTAGTAGTAGTAGTAGTAGTAGTAGTAGTAGTAGTAGTAGTAGTAGTAGTAGTAGTAGTAGTAGTAGTAGTAGTAGTAGTAGTAGTAGTAGTAGTAGTAGTAGTAGTAGTAGTAGTAGTAGTAGTAGTAGTAGTAGTAGTAGTAGTAGTAGTAGTAGTAGTAGTAGTAGTAGTAGTAGTAGTAGTAGTAGTAGTAGTAGTAGTAGTAGTAGTAGTAGTAGTAGTAGTAGTAGTAGTAGTAGTAGTAGTAGTAGTAGTAGTAGTAGTAGTAGTAGTAGTAGTAGTAGTAGTAGTAGTAGTAGTAGTAGTAGTAGTAGTAGTAGTAGTAGTAGTAGTAGTAGTAGTAGTAGTAGTAGTAGTAGTAGTAGTAGTAGTAGTAGTAGTAGTAGTAGTAGTAGTAGTAGTAGTAGTAGTAGTAGTAGTAGTAGTAGTAGTAGTAGTAGTAGTAGTAGTAGTAGTAGTAGTAGTAGTAGTAGTAGTAGTAGTAGTAG